AGTCAGCCATCTCGGATTTCAATTACTCTATTCAGACGGGTCGACTCATTGATTTTAATAATTAATAATGAAACGAGACGGTTAAGAACATTTTCATAAATACTTGATTTTTTTTGTGACTGTGCCAGTTTGCCTTAACGAGGCATTTACAGATTCACCGGGCTTGAGGTGGCCGAGCGCAGATGGCGCTTAGGTTAAACGTTTATGCGTAACTTAGTTCGAGGGTTCCCTCAGGAGCCTCGGCTCGGGCCGTTCCGTCGTTTTTATTACCGGATTGGAAGGCCGCCGAGGACTTAGATCGCTTCGGTGGACGCTCCATGGAGTAGTCACAAGAGCCCCCGAGAGGGGACATATACTTGATGTGACTAAATTATCTTACCAACATTTTGAACCCATTTAATGTAACGTAATGCACGATGTCGATTTTTTTTTGTGGGCGGCCTTTTGCCGCCCTGTCGTTCTCCCCCTGGCGTAGTGATACAAGCACTTTGTTTACTTTGTTGTACAATCAATAACAATAATAATCTTATAGCTAGTTATAATTTAAAATACAATATTTACAGTTAGAATATAAGCGCTATATCAATTACAAACTTAACCATTGAATAATCAACTTGTCTTACAAGTAGTATAAAAGTTTTTTAATTCCAATAACTTTAGTTCCAGTGTAAAAGAGCGTAGGAAGTGCCAATGCGAGTCACATCACGTGGCATCTTCGTCGTCACCGCCTAATGACATCCTATCTATTCTACAGACAGCTTGAAGCTTTGAATGTACCGTTAGTTGTAATTTAAGCCTTATGCTATCTAGTTAGGTTTTATTTCACATTGTGTTCAATATCGAGGATAGTGATACGCATTTGAAACACGTTTACAACTACTTTAGTTCGAACGTAGTATTTTTAAAACTAGTAGAACTCAGTACTAGATATTTGTTGATTTAAATTTACTATGCGCACCATTTGATCTTATCTGGAACAATTAGTACTAATAGATTTTTTTTGACAAAGTGATGTAGTTAGCACTCATTTTAGTGTATGATTATTATTTTTTTCAGTCTCTAGAGATGAATAATTGCATACTTACAACCCCTTTATATGATAGAGGCGCCTCGTCGGCGGCGTCCACCCTTGTGACTTCATCCAACCATTATTTGTTATTACATATTAGATATGTGCTTTTATTATGGACATTTCCGTTATAACACACTAACTGTTTCTAGTGACTATGTACGAGTGAAATAAAAAAATGGAAAAACCGGCCCAATAGTTTTTGAGTTATTTCAATGCATACAAAAATACAATTTTTCCTCTTTATAACATTAGTATAGACAATAATAATAATTAACTTCTTAGTTTTAACCACTCGATCTTAAGTGTTGGTATAAAATGTAATAAATAACTCCTTGCAAATAATTTATTTATTTTAACTTAATTCTGTTTGAAATAACATAGATCTAGGTAAACTTGGTTTAAGGGCATTGATAAAGATCATCATCAGTCCTGTACCCTAGGAGGGTCGGCAGATATGTTTCTTCCATACATCTTTATCAGGCGACGTTAACAAAGGTATACACATTTATTTACACTATAGAACAGTTGCGATAGCTATAATGATAAAATAAATTAAACAATCTTGTTTGTCAGGAAAATCAAATAAAGCAGAGCCTTGTCGTAAAATTAATGCCGCAAAGAAACAATCATTCTGAATAATACAAACTGTAATTGAATTACAAAGATATAAATGTGATAAGAGAAAAATATGCGAGTTAAGAACGTCCATAGACTACGTCACAGACAAACGAGCACGCAGTCAACGTAATTCGCCAAAATAACGAAGCGATTGCCACCTATAGACATACAGATATGTAAATAGAAAGAGGTAAGGCCTCCACTAAAGTTATAGAAGTCTACATTAATAGATTTATAAATACTATCGAATGAATCTATACATAAGAAATCTGTAACAAAAAATTTACCGGGATACCAATTTTAACGGACGTTATATGTCTTTTGTTTCTTCAACACCATTGTTCTTTTATATTCGAAATTTAAACCTCGAGTTCAGATGTCAATAACATTGCCAAAACGAAACCAGAAATACGAGATGCAACGTATAAGAAAAGCATCGTAGAAACGCTTAAATCGATTACGACGGAGGTACCCAACAAGATATATTTAAAAGCATCTCGGGCGCCAGAGGGGCGTCGAGATCGCAAGGATGATGTCACCGTTCCGTACGTACTACACGAAGTTGTATATAAATACGGGTTGCCAGTACATCGAACTTTTCTGGGTTACCTTGGAGAATTGTATAAGAACATATATGTTCTAGTTAGCAAACCAAGTGTAATAAGTTTTAGCTACAAGTAAACGTTAATGCGATTTTGATTCAGAAATCTACATGAATTTAACATAAATCAGTGTTCCAATTAGTCTTTGTATACCTAAATTAGTTGAAACCCAAACAATAGACTGCCAAGTTCCATACTATTTCATTAATAAATCGATTTCGTATTTTAAAAAAATCTACAACAAAATAAACAATTGTAATTATTAATTTGAATTCTTTATTAAAGTTGAGTAATGAAATGTTATTTACATTTTTACAGCGCATACGACCTCTAACGTGATCGATCGTCAAGGAAGGTCACAAGGATAAACGTACAAGGATCCTAGCCTTGGTAAGTAGTCACGTATACCATCTGATTTCCTTGGATATTGAGCGTGTTTTCCTTGACACAATTTCGGACATCAAGGAAAACTAAAAGTATACATTATTATATTTTAAGGACTATATAATGACAAATGTGAACTTTTATCTGAAAGAAGTATCTTAATCACGTTTAGTATCAGGAATGGAATTAACGTATTAATCTAACTAATATTATAAAAGCCAAAGATAAGATGGGCGTTTGTTTGGAGTTTGTAGCCTAAACGACTGAACGATCTCGATGATATTTGGCATATTTGTAGAGGACAGTCTGGAGTCTGGAGGAACACCTAGGATACTTACTTTTTTTTTAATTCCACGCGGACGAAAGCTAGTACATTATAACGTAGCAAATATGTTACTATGCATTTGTACCCGACTGACAAAGAGGGTAATGTTCTTCGTGCGTATGTAAGTTTGTTTTTAATTACATTTGTCCCACTAAAACGACATAGAGTGTAAACCACGTGACCGATTTATTCATTTTATCTTCTTCCTCGGGGTTTCATAGGGTATACGACGGCAAAAAAACTTACAGTGGACACGATAATTAAAATTCTAAATTTATTTACAGTGAACACACTGAATTCAAATCTCATTTGCCGTTACTTACAACTCAGTCAGTAGTTTTTTTGTTTAAGTTCGGATATCAAATACAAAATTATGTTCCACATCCTAAAAAAGGATAATATGGGGAAATACGCATAGGGAAATACCCGAAATGAGTTTACAAGTTCGTAAATGTTAATTCCACGTCACTTAAGAGCGGGCGCACACCTTTGACTATAATATCGCACAACTGTTGCTATTGTCGATTATTTCGCAGCCAATTCAACTATTATATTGCACATCTAAAAATTTAGTAGTATGCGCACCTCCATTTAAGCTTACAGGAATCAAAGCGAGGCTAAACAATTGTGCGATAGTTTAGTTTCAGCGCACGCCCTAACAATTTAGTTCCGTCATCTTGACAGTTAAGATTATACATTAATATAGTCTGGTTTCCGAACCATTGGGTATTCAATAAATTCACCTGTTGTCCGGGACAAACGAGGGGTGACGTGACGTCACGTGAAGTGTCACGCTTGGAAGGGGGTAGGAACGTCACGCAACGTTGGTGCCGATGCAATAATTGTAAATTATGTACTCAAAGTTATTAATTTTTTTCGGAGAAAGGGACAAATATGGTTCTACTTTTAGGATAAATAAAGAGAAGGAAGAAAGTTGAAAAAGCTCACATATATTAAGTACCTCACAAACATGAGCAGTTTTTAGAAATCATCCAATTAATGCTTTATCAGACATAGACGAAAATTTCAGGGTCAGGAGTATGTAAGGAGACCATTTGATAGTTGCCGACATTTTTTAAAATTGCCGTTAACTTCTTTAAATTAATTTTAGCTAACATCTGCCTGGACCGATAACAAAGTGACAAAGTTCACAATCAATCGGCGACACTTAAAAATCACAAAGACGAAAATTTGATTAAAAAAAAAACAATAACAAGAGAGATTATTCTTAGAGACTTGTTTGTGTAGAATTTGTTCACGGGATATAAAAACGAGTGATGTCATATTCACTGGCTGGTAGCTGATACTGAGTCAGTGGCCAGTTGGGTTTGCACAAAAATTATAGCATCTGACGGCATGTGTGAATCACTGATTGACGACTTTATTAGACAAGGTTATTATAATATTTTACCTAAATACTAGCTGTTGCTCGCGACTTTGGCCGCGGTAAATTAAAAATATATCCTATGTTACTCACAGAAAAATTACCTTTCTGACGGCGAAAGAATTTTTAAACTCGACCCAGTAGTTTTCGAGTTATTTGTATACATACAAAAATACAGATCTTTCCTCTTTACAATATTAGTGTAGATGCAGATTAATTAATTAAACGTAAAAATGTGTATTACAAATCTTGTTTATACATTACCTTTAATACGCTATCTTATAATATTAAACCTATATGAAGTTTATAATTAACAACTATTTTTTTCCTAAACAAGAAATAGACATAACAATTAAATTAGTTATTTGATGTATCGAACCATTCGACCACGATATGGGCTCCATTTTGAAAATGTGTTTCAAATAAAGCCCGTTAATAATTTTGATTTCGATGATTTTTTTTTTCACCAAATTACATTTTAATGTTTGTAAATTACTACAAATAACGATTAATTCTGTTCAACAGCCACGTAGGGCAATTATTTTCGCTGTTCGTTAACCAAAGCCAGCGGTTTATCGGCACGAAACCAAACCGGTTCTCCCGCCCTTTACTCACCGCCACAACCAGATTGAAGAAGAAGAGCACATATTTCACGAAACTCGTTCCACACCCCATTTTGAATGCACTGAGAGTCACACAATAAACTTCGCCAGTTGAGATCACTCACAATTTTACTTGTTTACTTATGTGTTTACCAAGCGCGGTACCACCTCAACGGCGAATCGAAAGTGACTAAATGAAAATAAAAGGGAGACCGCGATGGCGACGCCGAGCGTGTGTTGCCAGATCGGAATGTTGAATTTACCACACAGTTCAACTTAAAAACTCACATTTTTGGTTTTTCGGTCAAGTATAAGTCTTAAGTGTATGCTGAAATCTTCGAAATTAATTTTTTATGAATTGGACATTCGTATACGTGTGTCATTCTTGGCATCGATTTTTTTCATGATTACAATGACGTATTTGATAGGAACAACATAGTCCATCTTTTGTTTTTTAACTATTTGATGAAACTTTATACAAACAGTACAAATATTCGTTAAAAATGAATTAAACAGTCAAATAAAATTCTTGGTTCATTATTTCCCAATATTAAAGCAACTTTTTAGCAGCGGAAACACCCCGCATATAACTCATGTACAATTGTTACCCCCTCATTCACTTATTGCTCTCCTGCTCGCACCTTTGATTCGAGTAATATTCTGATCTCTGTCTAACATATTCATCTCGACAGGATCTTTTCGATCTAAGGAATTTACACTTCACAACGTATTAAATTGTTTTTTAGTTATATGACTGTGTCCATTCGACATGTCTTTCGAATTACTAATGGTTGGTACTGTACAGTTAGTTATCAATGTAGTGCAATTTACAATATTGACTTATTTGTAGTGGCAGCTGGCCTAAAGATTTAGGAAGTGGCTAATTATAAAATTTGGATAATTTTTTATTATAATTCTTACAAGACTACGCCCATTCGAGCGTAAGGTGATAAAGGGCGTGATTGATTCGAAAGTGATCTTGTATTCATGTAGGCGTAACCGAAGAACTTTCTAGTTGCATTTGCAAAGCTTGTTTTATATAGCTTTTCTTCTTTTTGCTTCAAGTTTCGTAATGCAACTTTGTTAGATTTTAAAGTGAAAATAAATACGCTCACCGTCGTAAATGTTATTAAAACGACTTATTATATTAACTTAATGTATTTGAAGTAACTACTTAATGGGAAAGAAAATAGAGATAGTGAAATGTTATTTAATTGTTTATTAAAAAGTACAAATAGTCTTTGATCACAAAAGTAAAATAAATATAAATAAAATTTAAAAGAACAACAAACACATAACCTCAATTCACTAAAAATGCTTAAATAATTATGTAATAAAATACTTAGGCAAAAATCCAGGTCGTTTTTAATTCAACACAGATAATTCGAGAAAAATTGCAATTTTATGTTCACCAAACATCTTTAGTCGTTTTTAAATTTAAAAAGGTATGTATTTTTATCCATCAAAAACCACTATTATCAAAAAAATCCTATTGGAAAACAGCGTGACGTCATCACACTATAAGGTCCAATACACACTAAAATGTATTCGTATAAAATGTACCACTTCTATATGTCAATTTTAACAGCGAGGTATAGGCTAGTTCGAACAAAGCTTGGCTTACAATTTTTTAAGTGGTCGCATAACTGGTATAAAAACATACGTATTGTTTTAAATGAAGTGTTGCTAAGTGCCAGCCCCTTAATTTTTTTTACGGACAGCGATTGATTATAGATTACCTTTGATTCTTGATACTTGCATAGATATTGCATAACAGAATCATTAATAATTTGTTCATTATTGATAGTTTGATACTTTTAAAACGGATTTTTTTTTGTATTAATTCTAAAATACATGACATTATTACCGTATCAAGACAATTTTATCACACTACATTGACATCACACATTAATGTTTATGACAGTTTTTGGGTCACAGCGAGTAAAAGCTTCGGATCTCTTATCACAAGTTACGTTATTGCCTCAGGCGTTGTTGCACAATTACTAACAGGTTTCTTAGCTCGTTCCACTTTCTTTAGCATCCGTCTGTACAATTTGTCGATAACGTATATGCTTATTACATGATGTAAAGATAACCTATGTGGTTGTATGCATTACATAGGTTTTTTATAATAAAAGGGGGCAAACGAGCGGCGGGTACATGATGATCTACGACGCCCATGGACATCCGCAACACCGGAGGAACTACAGATGCGTTATCGTTCTTTGAGGAAATGGTAGGCTCGCTTCTTGAAAGACCCTTCGTATTGGTTTGAAAATACCGCCGAGGATAGACCGTTTCACAACGCGGCTGTGCGAGGCAGAAAGTTCCGAAAAAACCGCACGGTTGTAGAATGCCAGCCATCGAGATGGTGAAGATGCTACTTGGCAGTCTGTCGTGTCGTCCGATGACGAAACTCGGCGCCAGAAACTGTTACCTTTAATAATGTAAATATGAAGAACTTATTGATAGAAAATACCAATGGTGTATGAAAGTGTTGTGATGCAAGCATATCTGCAAAAATGCAGTCAACCGCTCACTATACCAGCGTAATTAAGCCCGTGTCCGTCTAATTTTTAAAAGTTGAGAACCCTTTTTGTGTTTACGTCATATAAGTGGAAAATAACAGGAGACTCGAGTGTGATGACGTCAAAAGACGTAATGCACAGAAGTTTGTTTTTCAATAATACTTGTAAACCACAATCAACCATAAACGCCACATAGTTTTGTTGTGCACTTTACTTACAATTATTATTTGTTTAATTAAGGTAAATAAATATAAATATAAAATACTAAAATACACAAGTATAAAAACATTTGGCAAGTAAGGACAAAATCCTACGGACGGTTGTGATTTAACCGTTCGGGGTTCTAGAACGTTATAACGTTTAATACTTAGGCAAAGTCGGCGCGGGTGCTGTTGGAGCTAATAAGGAATCATCCGGTGCTGAGAAAGTGGCTTCCCTCATTGAAACAGAATGCCTTATGGACGCCCGACGCCGCGCCAAAATAGCATGCGCAAGGAAAAACGTACAGAAAACACCAGTGCTCTGAAACAAACAAAAATATTTATTAATACATCATCAAATGCAATAACACAAAATTAATAAAACTTTAATAATGTGGCTGTATGAGATATTTTCCTGTGCCTAAATTGCTTATATTAAACATCTGACTGTAGTTATAAGTAATTGAGTGACTTGTAAGGGATCTTTGAACCCTGAATCACTCAGTGACTTAGCTGGTGTCCTAATTAATCACTAATTCTTTTAAATTCCAAACCCACAGGTAAAGGGAAATACCAATTTATACAATCATGGTAAACTCATTTTATTCTTTTATAGTTAAACGTCTACATTTACATACTTAAGAATTAAGAATGCATACTGCAACAACAATCAGAATTAAGAATGCAGACTGCACCTTAATCAATTAGTTAAATTATAGTAAAAAGGATTGAATCAAAAAAACTACTACTTGCTACGAGTTTCCTGTATTCATATAACATTATGATGTTCGACGAAGAGAAAGAAAGATTCCTGTTCAACAACCAACAACGGAGGTAGAGAACAATAACGTATGCGCCGGAACACGACCGCATTCAGATTTCACATTCGACGATTCGCTTTAAGAACTTGCCTTTGTTCGTAGGTGTACAAAACATGATTTATCTTACGCACCGGTACGAAGATGTGGAATTCTTGAGAGGTAAACATTTTTTTGTTTGCTGGCATTTCAACTGAAGGAAGAAATGTGTGATTGCAACACAATCGCATACGAATACGAAATCAATGTAGCAAAACAAACAAATATGAATGTCATTCATCCCGACATTTTATGTACAAATGTGGTAACACTCCACTATTCAAATTTTGAGGTTAGACTACAACTCATTACTTTGCTGACTTACTATAAGATGGCCGACACCATTCCAGTGCTGGCGGCCTGGATGGAGAGGACGCACGGGGCGGTAACCTACCGTCTGGCGCAGGTGCTGTCGGGGCATGGCTGCTTCGGTAGTTATCTGCGCCGGATTGGGAGGGAGCCGTCCGCGCAGTGCCACCATTGCGACAGTTGTCCCGAGGACACTGCCCAGCACACGCTGGCGGAGTGTCCGGCGTGGACCCTACAAAGACGGGATCTTGTGGCCGCAGTGGGCGGAGACCTGTCCCTGCCGATCTTGATCAGGGCCATGACGGAGTCGGGTGCAGTCTGGAGGGCAGTCCAGGAGTACTGCGAAATAGTCATCAGACAAAAAGAGGAGGCGGGGAGGCTCAGGGAGGTGACCAGAGGGGACGCCAACCGCAGCCGCCGCAGAGGGGGCAGGGCAAGGGCTTTTGCCCGGACCCTACCACCTTGACCGTACTCGAGTGGCGAGATAAGGGGAAGCTCGCCACTCCGATAGAGTAGCAGAGGGCGCGTGGTTCTCCGCGCAAGAGTGGATTAACATCAGAGGAGGCGTAACCGCCAATCACCACCGGGGAGTGGATGAATATTTCTTGTGTGCCCAAACCTCGGTGCCCAGTGAAACGATGGAGACAGTGGGGTTTTAGTTGGTAGGCTCCCGTTTATCGGGAGAGAGCCCAACATAACCTCCGCGCCTTTCCCCTCTTAGGGCGCGGTGGTATGCGGTAACGCATTTCCCCACTTAAAAAAAAAAAAAAAGATGGCCGACACCATAGGCGTCACCAGAGGGTAAAATAGGCGGGACCTACGCCTCCTAGAAACTCGAAAATTATAAAACATATGTAAAAATTAAATCAAAATACTAATATCAATCCTTAGACCCACAAAGACAACTCATACGCCTCTTGTACGTTATTTATAAGAATTTTCTTTGCAAAAAAATAACTATACTATCCCATCCTTAATCATCGGCTTGTACAAGATTGGCGACGCTTATGGCCGATATTTATACCTCCAAAATTACATGTGTACTAATTTATATTAACATTGATTCCGTATGTAATTTTCAAGTACCATTTTATTTACTGAGCAGTATATCTTTGCATTTTAACAGTGGGCAGTAGATACGTAATAGTTGCGAAGTCTATTTATAATCCTGACAGATTGTCGAGCACACGCGAGATGTCCTTAGCGATGCTTAACATACACACTCCATAGACTATAATTTGTATAGTTAGTTTATGGTTGACCATGAAGACACAAGTCTCATGCTCCTAGGTTTTTGAGTTGCAGATCGTTTTTGTTTTTGATTTGTACTTAGATTAATTTCCCAGATTGTCCTTTATTTCAAAACTTTATCCTCACTGAATTAAAAAAAACACTTAACATTAATATCTATACATCATTTGTATTTATTTAGCAATTCCGAAATAACATCGTAACGAGTATCCGTACATCCAAATTTTATTAAAAATATGATTAACTATGTATCTTTCAAATAAGATTGTTTTAAATATAGACTATGCGTCCCACTTATTAAAAAAATACGTAATAGAGACATCAATCTGACAGCCCTATGTGCGTATGCTCTAACAATGAGTTGGAGGGATCCCAAAAAGGCGCGCAAGGTTGTAACTCTTCGTAACATTTTAAAAGGATAGAATTATAATTAAAGATCTAACTGTGGGTTTTCATTGCAGATACATCTGTATAAATATTTATTAGATATTTTTTAATTTTATAAATAGACAGACAACAAACAACCATAATCCGGAGTAACATAGCTTACAAACAACAGAAACAACAGTATATTGGACTATTTCTAACCGTCACCCCGCTCTGTCCCCACGTGGAGACAGATGAGAATAAAAATTTCATCCATCCCGCCTTTTGCGACAAGAGGACAGTTGGAACTTATTTTATTTCATAACGGTTCCATCGGTCATCTAATTAATGATAGTGGGACTAAAAGGTGGGATGGATGTAACTGTTGACGGTTGGAAATAATCCAGTATATTGGTATACAAATTAAAATATAAACAAGTACCTTTTATCATTGTGCAAGAATTGATCTTATTATCTGTGGCAAGAGAACAGAACGTAACGAGATAGAACAAGGAAGCGAGGTCGGCAAACGTCGCGCTATGACTCACCGACAAAGACTCAACAAGGGCCTTTTACACTTAATGTGATCACGCATTTATTAAAAAAATTCTTGTGATAAAGCTTTAAATGCACGTAAATAAAAGTTTTCACTTCACGATTTTTATGTTTCCATCTTCCCGTCCAATATTGGACATCCATGGCCGTTATTATAGGTCGTTTTTACCGTGCTTTTGGGGAACAGGATTCACACTAGGGTTACGTGATTCGTTCTTTGGTACCCCTTTCTGTCCATTGCCCTGGGCAGTGACCTATCCTAAATACTGTGTCTGGTAATCCAGTAAAAATCTAATAAAAACATACACATTCCTTTCAAATAAATGGCGACCCTACTATAACTCGTGTAATAAAAATAGTAATAAATAATATTAGTATAAAGAGGTCTATACACTATGACGATTGTATTTTAGTTTGTACGTTATCGTTGTGAATTATTTACGTTACCTAATCTACGGTTCACAGAGCATGTTCTCATTAATAGCCTTTTATTATTCTTTACTGTAGCTATGGAATAAAGCTTCTTGTTTTTTAATTACGTCTACAACAATGTATTTAAAAAGTTCTTGTTTACATAACAAGGCAATTGTATAAGATTTATGTGTAGTGTAACAAAGAATAGTATAGCTTTGTGACTTCATATTATGTATTTGTTATTATAACAAGGTTTTTTTTAAAATAATGGACTAGTAATTCTAATTATAAATATTAAAAGTATCAAATAATCTTAGTCTATGTTCATGTTTGATTGCTATTCTAATTTGTTAATTTGCCGCGATTTTTCGATGTCTACTTTCATTACAGACATAGACAATATAGTTCTAGATAAGTCTATGCCTAACCTTGCTTTTCTTCTTCAATGATTATCAATGTCCACGGGCGTCGCGTTTGCCCCTTCACTTTTATAAAAAAGTCCCTACTATAGTCTTTTGAAGGTAAGTCGTATCTGTCATGCTATTTATTCCAAGAGCGTGCGCACAACTGAAACTAAACTATCGCACAACTGTTTTTAGTTGTGCAACTAAGCAGTTGATTAAGCTGCGTCACAATCGGCAATCGAAAATCGCATAACAGTTAAGCGATAGTATAGTCCAAGATGTGCGTCCGCTCTAATTGGAATTCCACAATCAAACGTATTTTCCCTGTCATTATGTTTTTCCAACTAGATATGAATACCAATTAACAAGCTCTACTTCCTTAAAGAGCATTTCGATACGCGTAATTTGAAGATTTAATTTTTGATTAAATATAGTAAAGAAGCTTCAAAACAGGTTAGACTAAATATAAATATCTTAATTCCGTTGCCCAGGACCTAGGAATATTTCTTCATACAAAAACAAAAGCATTGCGTCAACGACTGGATGCGTAGTACAATTTTAAACAAGTTATCTATCGATGACATCATTGATTATTGATTAACTAGCCTTCGCCCGCGACTCCGTCCGCGTGAAATTTAAAAAACAAAAGTGAGTAGCCTATGTGTTCTTCCAGACTATCCTCTATGTCTATACCGAATTTCATCGACATCCGGTCAGCCGTTTAGTCTACAAACTCTAACAAACATCCATCCATTTAAACTTTCGCAGTTATAATATTAGTGTGATTAAGCAATTACTACGAATAATGCACGCAAACTCGAACATTTATTGCTTTAATGTCAACTCTAAATCATAATTTGTGTAAATTCGGTTCGGTGTACAATTAGGTAGAGCTATTTCAACAAGGAAGACAGAAATGTGTGTTTATATTAAAATCCACAGAAAAGATGTGATTTGAAACACATGCTTTCTAGCGGTCAAGTACTCAAACGATTTAAATATGTAACGTCTAATGATAAGGCCACGCTGCCACCTAACGCCAGCTGACAAATTATAAGCGTTTACGAAGCGAAGTGTTTAGGTGTCGTGTCAGTATTTGGCCGTAAATGAAATAAATCTCAAGAGTTAATATCAAATTAAACTACTCAGAATTTTTGCTAAGGTTAACTCATATCAACTGTGTGTTTTTTAATTCCTATTGACTTGGTAACACACTGAAAATAAAAACAATTAAGTAGACAAACAGTCAATTTGACATAGGGTAAATCACTTAATCTAGAGATTATTATAGTCTTACATAACCTCTCTATATCCAGACACGAATCAGGTGACCTCCCGATCCCCAACAGTTAAAAGGATCTGTAAAATGACTCGAATCAGCCAGCGGAATTCCCCGCTACCATATCATTTATGAGAAAAAATCCACTGCTATTCTATCGTATTCGTATCGTTTTATTAGTACATTAGAAAGAGATGCACGATCAGCAAAAGTGTGACCATTGTACGACTCCCACGCATAGTACGGGGTGGATGTATAGCATTTAATGAGCCATTTGCGAGGCGACATCCTCTGTTCTACGCTCCAATTTTCGTATTAAATACTTATTTTTCAATGATATAACCAATCCTTTAGTAGATTACACAAATCTCTAGTACATACAAAATTAGTAGGATAACAGAAACTTTTTTGAATAGGTCCATCCATACAAAATGATTTGTAGGATATCCTTTGTTTTTTTTTTTAATCTATATAAATGACTATATAAGGTTTTTATGAAATATATTCCTATAGATTTAAAGTTATCTTAAACTAAATTTAACTAGACTTTCAAGTACCAGTACAGTAAGTATGCGACTTGACGCGTCATTGTGTCTGTTTTGTGCAAGCGTTTTCCTGCTTGATTCATTTATGTGCGAAATACAGACAAACAACGCTACCAAAACAGTGATATCATTGTAAAATATAGTTTAACATGCGTAGGATATAAGTACATTCAAGTTGACGCATGAGGAAGGTTTTTCACAAAAATAGCGTGTGTTGAGGTCAAAATTCATGATAATTTTAATATAAATAATTTATCGTTGAGTCAAATAAACTTGCTAACTGTTGACATTGACTTTATTACCCCAAAAATATTTTTAGACACTTTAGATCAGGGGTTACGAACCATATGCCATAAATGACACACGACAATATTTAGGCACTTCGATAAAAAAACTACGATAAACTTATGACGTTGGTGCATCATGGAAATGACGTAATAATCGCAGTCAAAATTATTCAATGGCACGCCTAAGACCGTATTAAACATTTCTTTAAAAAAAAAGCACTTGGATGCATATATGTTCGCCGCCCCTGGTTTAGATAACCTAGTCTTTCAACACTTTGACCGCCGTAATTTTTTTTATGGACATAAAGATGGCATGTTCTACCATAAATATGTATCAACACACCGCTTTCGATATAAGTACTTTATTATTTATTGGTCTACATAGCATTTTACTAGTAACAATAATATTTTGTTTCAATAACCATGATGGCCAAAAAAACAGACCTGAGCGCTAAAGTCACGGTATTAATATTTTCTAATATGTTTAAACGTAACCTTCTACAGTCACGTACCAATTTTTGTTATTAAAATAATAGTTTATAACTTAAACAATGCAGAACCTAACCTTGAATTACGGCAAGTGTACAAATTGTTACCGACGCGTTCAGCGAGAGACGGCTCGTCAGCGGTGAGGTCATTGAAACTATTACGCCATGTTTATTAATATTTTTAAACCAAAATTGACGATGAGAGATAAAGAAAACAAATAATTTATATGGCAGTGATACATATAAAAATATAAAGCTGTATCAACATATTTATCAATGCAGGAGTGATCATCCGATATAAGTTACAACTTCCGTAAATATCCCAACGAAAATTTCGATCGTTTCCCTACAAATGAAATCGATTAAATTCTAGCAACATCCGATCAATGCTAAATTATCGAATAACTTTTCGCATGATTAGTTAGGAAATCTAATTTACCGATTGATTATTAAGAAATAGCAATTCATTTGTTCACGTTACATTTTATTACCTTACAAATATTTAAAACAATTTATGTGAGAGAGATTAAAAGTTTAAATTCTGACTAAAATGATCTCATTTAATAGCTTTGTTTTAGTCTTAATCTTGAATAATTGGCCTTTTCTTTAAAAGGCTGTCTTTAAGATCCCGGGACAGGTTGCTTGTTAGGCACAAGCACAAGCTAAGAGTTACAGTTAATGGTATTAAATAAAAACTGCACTCCGTTATTCGATGCCATCCGAACGGTTGTCCAGTCCTACTCGTTTTATGTATAGTTCTATTAAAACATCTTGGCTAACCAAGGTCTTCGGTGAACTGCGCAGTGCTCCCGCAAACTAAAGCAAATTGTGATTTACGCAATAATATAAACAGTATAACATCAACAAAAGGAGAAATTCGCAAATGTTTACTTTAAGCAAAATGACTTCTTGTTGATTATGTTACGAAATGCGTTTCAGTTAATTATAATTGATGTAACTAAAAGAGCTACTCATCTCAAACCCACGTCCTACATAATAAACAGTAGGGCGTGCATAAAGGAGGCGTTTCAGACGTTGACCCTAATTTGTCGTTCTTGGAACTTCATAAAACTGTCGCCTGATTGCAACATAAGTGCGTAATCTATTGTTTTGGCTGTTGTCTTTAAACGTGTAATAATGACCCACTAATGTTTGTTATTAATTAATAATAAAACTTCTATAGGATCGCTTAAGAAAAAACGTTTTTAGAACAACCCAAAGGTTGCCAGTGACTTTTATATGCGCATCCAACGAACGACTAATCTAAGTCAAGAATATTGCTATTTCTTCTCCTATTTTAGTAGTTACCCTGAAAGCTACATTTAGTTATTCGCAAAGCCAAAAATTAGCGCATCTTGAAAGCCGTTCATTAAGCTCACTTTTAAAATCTTTCCTAAATTATTAAGCGAAAGCCACTTTAGTCTTGATATGCTGGGTAAATGTAAACATGGCATGATTAATTATTTTTGTTGCAAAGTATTCAATTTTACCATACGGTAACACAGCAGTTACTGTGACATTTGACATTAAAAACTGACACTGACACTGACACTGACGTTAGATGTTATTAATGTTTAGTTGTGTACTGGCGATATCTCATTTACTTTGTTAATTTGTTTTTAGTGAATTTGTATCGTCGCATGATTATTTTAAAGAGAAAATGTCTGATTTCGAACAATACGTTGAGTACGTACAATATACTAAACGATTTAGGAACGTAGGTGTAGGACCAAGACGCTATTTACGTGATTATTCTGATCCCTTTACAAAATACTCTGTCGAGGAATTCCATACTCGATATAGGTTTACTCCTGATGTTGTTAAAAGTGTTATACTGCCTATGCTGGAATCTATAAGAAAACCTTCAAAAAGAGGTTTACCTTTTCCTCCAGAAATAATGTTGCTGATAACATTACGATATTACGCTACAGGTAGCTTTCAGGTTAGTACAGTTACAGTCTTCGAATTCGACCAACATTCGAGTTCCTAAGGAACTAAAGTCCCTATAGAAATAAAGAAAAAAAAAACATCCAACAGGGATACAGACCACAGCCATATTAGTTCCCACATGAAGGGCTTGCTTGACCATTGCAATAACACAACCACAAAGACAGGCTTGAAGTGGAAGTAATTCCACATTATGTGTCAGAAATGTATGCATATGTCACTAAACCAGATGATGTCTGTGTTTCCTCCTGAATATAATTAAAAACATGAGATGTTTTTAATAATTTTTATTTTATAATGTTTAAAGAATTTATCTCTTTTTTCCAGAAAATGCAAAAAGATGTCATGAATATTTGCCAGCAGTCAGTATCAAGAATTATCGCTCAAGTGTCCAATTTAATAGCAAGAAAAATGAAAAAGTATGTTAAATTTCCAACTAAAACCGAAGATCTCAATTTGGTGAAGTAAGCTTTTATTGAATAAGAATTTAATTTAACCTATAGCAATACAAAATAGAAGTACATCTATTTATGTTTTTTGCAGGCAAAAGTTTTACGAAATCAGTCATTTCCCTGAAGTGATTGGCTGTATTGACTGTACACATATAAAAATAAGAAGTCCTGGTGGGAACACTTCCGAAGTGTATAGGAATAGGAAAGGTTTTTTCTCTATTAACATCCAGATAGTTGTTGGACCTAATTTGGAGTTTTTCAATCTAGTAGCCCGCTGGCCGGGTAGTACACAAGACAGTTTTATATACAATAATAGTTCAATTAAACAGAGACTTGATGCCAATGAGTTAGAAGGGGTAATTTTAGGTGACAGTGAGTTCAACACGAGTAGTACCCTGCTCACACCTTTTGTGTCCCCAAATTCAATACCCCAGGAACAATATAATAAAAGTCATATGGAAACATGTAAAACTGTTGAACATTGTTTAGGTATTTGGAAGGGTAGATTTCCGTGTTTACAAGTGGGTATGTGTATCAAGGTGGAAACAGTTGTGGCTGTGATCTGTGCATGTGCAGCGTTGCACAATATAGCTGTATCAGTGGGTGATATTACACCAACGAATTGGGAAATGGCTGAGATTGACGATGATGTTGTGACATGTAACGAAGACCCAGATAGTGAAGGTTTTGTGGCGAGACAATTATTTGTAGATAGATATTTCCAGAATTATTAAAATATAAAACTTAAGTAATACTGCCTAACCATGTTCATTAAGTCTTAAGTAATAAGTGTGTTGAATGTTATTTCCAGTACATACGCTACATTAATTTTATGATAGAATATATATGTGCTTTGTTGATATCATAATTTTAAGGTAAACATAAGAAATATTTAATGTTTTATTTTATTTTATCTTTAGTTCCTTAATTATTTTAAGAAAATTAATAATAACCAAGTTCATTTATAGGTAGTTTTTAAAATCAAGTAAAACAGCTGTTTTTACTTTCTGAATGACAAAAAACATCTTCAAAATTTATGTATAACTAGCTTTCGCCCGCGACTCCGTCCGCGTGGAGTAAAAACAATAAAAGTGAATAGCCTATATGTTCTTCCAGATTACATCTATGCCAAATTTCATCGAGATCCCTTCAGTAAACAGCTACAAACTCTAACAAACATTCATCCATCTAAACTTTCGCATTTATAACATCAGTAAGATCTATCCGGATATGAGTTGTCAGTCTCCCAATGCCGATAATAAAATCAATAGGTCAGTAATTAAACATAACAAATTATTCATGTGGCTAATATCGTATTGTTTGTTATCGAAGGTTGAAAACGTATTTGGGCTTCGAGGGTCAAAAAATTCAATATTAATCAAACGACATTGTTACACGCAGCAGCGTGGCGTGGCGCACAATCATACTTCATACTAATATTATAAATGTGAAAGATTAGATGGATGGATGGATGTTTGTTAAAGATTGTAGCCTAAACAGCTGAACGGATTTCGATGAAATTTGGTATAGATGTAGAGGATAGTCTGGAAGAACACATATGCTACTCACTTTCGTTTTTTTAATTCCTTGCGGACGGAGTCACGGCCGAAAGCTAGTCATCTATACATATAATAAAAATGGAGTGTACGTAACTTCGAAAGAATAATTTCGGATTTCGCGAAGATGTAATTGCGTTGCTGATAACTGATAAATAGTTATTTAAGCTATATCAGTTCTGACCTGTAATATGGAAGCCGTCAGCGCGGTCATAGCGACCAACAGTAATTGGTCTTTCGTATACTGGTGAAGTTGTTTCCCGCAGCCACGCTGGTAGAGCGTAGTGCAGTCCGCGGTGTAGGGCTTGTGCAGCGAGTCCAAAGGACCCTGGCCGCAGCAGGAGAACGGCACGTGTTTGGTCGCCGAGTAATCGCCGGGACCACTGATGCCGCAGCACTCGAACTGTGAGATTTTTGATGTTGATGATACAAGATTTTTTTCTACATTAATTATTTAATTTTCTACCGACAATAGTTTGAATGCTTGTTACCTGAACATGTAATTTATCCCATCGTAATGAATCCACAGAATTAGGGTCTTCAAACTTGCTGGTATCCATAAAGTATTTCGTCATTGTACTCCTTATGTCGATTTCAACGTTATCCCATACAACCATCGCCCAAACGAAGCATGAAAACTCAATGACTACCACTATAACGATCAGGAGGCCAGCCTGAAAATAATAAAAAATGTGTTATTAGTTCATAATTTAACGATAATTGAATCAATGAAAACAGCAATAATGATATTTTAGTAAATTATAATAAAATAAACACAAAAGTCGGCTTTGTTCATTTTTAAATAATATTGCGATTTAAATTGTTTATTTTTATACAATTGAAACAAGGTGTTCGCATATTAATAATAGATGGCGCTTATCGAAACCAGATAACTTGAAATTCCAAATCAAAACTGCTTTTACATAAATAACGCAAACGAATCTTATTTAAATATTTGAATGAATACGTTAGCTCAGATGTTTTTTATAATAATATTTGTAAGTTAATTTACCATAACGACGTGAAACTGATGCATGGATTTTGCAGATCGCCATCCAATCCATGCTACAGAACATGTAATTATCGCCATCATTAATAGTAATATTGCTGGATACTCCACATTTACTGGGATAAAGTGCCGGTAAATAAATAGTCGATATACGAGAAATCCACTAACTCCAAATAGCGCCACTGCCGACATCTGTTGAGGGAAATTAACAAACTTGAAAACTCATATTATACGACCACGCTATATAGGTACCTCTATTCTCTCTTTTGTTGTAACTTCACCGTCTTGCTATCGATAACTGCAGAAGTGCGACAAGGATAACAATAACAGCACTACCGTATACAAATTGGTCTCATGTTAGTTCAATTTAGTTGAGCTCAATTTAGAAATAAACTAGGTGACAAAAGAAGACAGGTACTTTTTTCGCATTTTTACAACAAAAATAAGTTGCACGTAAAACAGTTACTTTACAGTTAAGTTATAGGCAAATCAAGTTTACATTAAAAAAATGTTTGTATGGAGTTGTTATGACAACAAAGAATCGCTGATTAAGATTAACGTGGTTCTTATAAAAGAGCATGTAGTTTTAAATTTAAAAGACAACCAATTAAAGTACTTACAGCGAATAAAACATTGAAGGTTAGTACAAGATATTTCCAACAATTCGAGGACAGAGCCATTTTCAGTATTCACATGTCAAGTAAAGTTTGAAACTCGTCTCAAAACAAAGGCAGGTCGTTCCACCTCAGGAATTGTTTGTGTTTCGCTGCGTCCGCGTAACTGCAGCGGCGGCGCGGGCACAATTAAACAACCGGCATCTATCCGTTCATCATAATCTTTAACGAATTGTATGAAAATTTCTTTTTTAAGTGGACGATACAATCGTTATTCCTTGTAAATGATTAATCCGGCTTGATGTGTTGAGTTACTTATCAGTTTATCGTTGCGATAAACTTTGTTATATACAGTATCATGCAATCTAACCTCATTTTTTTACCAAACCATATCACCATATGATTTTACTATCTACGACAAGGCGTAGGCGCGGGAGTGTTATTTATATAACTTTGACAAATCTATTTTAAACGCTCTCATTACAAAATTACGTCACACTTTGTGCCTTAACACACAGTATTAAAGAAACTGCTCTAACACTTGTAAATGTTAATTACAACTGTGAACAAGAATGTATTTAGGTTTATCTATATCAGAGGTCAATGCTACTTGACCCTTAACCGCGACACTTATTCATGGAATGACACAGCCCAAATTTTATAGAATTAGGTGCATAAAGAAACACGATAGGCTTAGGTTCATTTCCTGTTTGTAAAAATGTGCAAATATAAATTAGCAAATGAGCTAATATATCATATAAAGTTTAATATCAAAGGTTTTATGAACACGAACATTCAAATACCAGCTTTCTGGCACTACAAGAATTTAACGGTACAAGTTTACATAAATAGACATACATCCAGAAAGCTATCTAACCATATTAATTAGCACTCTGGCATCTCTCACGACGAACAATGACTTCTTCCTTGTTCGGTTTTTAACCCGTCGAGTGTAATTAATAGTGTGTTTATTAATGCTGCCTACTGGAGAATCTTGTGCTAAAGGTCAAGCTTCATTGCGCAATATATTCGCTTCAGTTAAGAATTTTTAGTGTGTGATTTCTATTGAAATATACTATGAGTAATCAATTAAACGAATACATTATATATAATTTTATTTAAATTTCATTTAAAACAAATCTAAAACACCTCATGCTATGATAAAGTAATACATTTTAACCAACATAAGATGAAAAGGATTTAGGATTTATTTAGGATTTTTAATAATAATCACAAAGACACAAATCTTTAGTCATTATCTCCGGCAATAATTCAACCTTTACTACTTTCTTCACCTTTTCTATCTCAGCAAGGATATCTGCACTTATAGGTCCTGCTTCTTTTGCGGTACGAAACAAAGCCCTTGCTTTATCAACGTCTCGTTTATACATGGCCAGTAATCCCAGAAACGCCCAACCGTCGGACAAAAGAGGTTCAACCTTCACAGCAGCTGCAGCCCAACGCTCAGCTAACTTTTCTTCCCTTAGTTTTCCGTAAATTCTTCCTAAAATTAGCGCTGAATACGCCGATGGAGCAATTTTATGTGCTCTAGCAGCTCTCTGCAAGGATGCCGTTATATCAGTTTTCCATCCGCCTATCGCTGCTCGGAGAAGTAATCCAGCACAAGGTTCAGACCCGTCGTTATCGGCTTCTAACAAAGCTTTTTCACATTTACCATCCCAACCTCTAGCGAAACCCAAACAAGTTGCTCGTATTTGAGAAAGTATAGCACAAGGCCCGAACCGGCGTATCCCTTTCTCAACGACTTCCAGGGCTAAATCCATATGAAGCCGCAAAAGCAGAGACGCTGCTCTCACATAATATGTTCCAGGACCCGGTTTCTCTTTTGCGATATCTTTTGCACCGTGTTCAAAGCAGCCATCGTCAACACATTGGAGAATTCTTTCAGTAAGTTTAAAGCATCTTAAACATAAAAAGAAAGCTGCAGCGATCAAGAAAGGATTCCGAGAATCTATAATACTAGGAATCCAACATGCCTCCTCTTCTCCACTTGAATCTATCCATCTTTTTAGGCATCGCTTCCACTCTACAGGTAGCGCAAAGGATTTTCTCATTTTTTTAACTGCAACAAAAGCTGGACACTCGTTCCCATGATAGTGATGCAACGCGTGCAGTGCGGCCCAACCAATGGCGCTGGTGGTACCGTCCGATTTGTCGCCTTTAACGGCAATTCGAAAAGCGGCCGTTGCTACTTCAATTGCTTCAGGACCTTTATCAAATTGTATACCTCCGTATGTCCATAGTAAATATCTGTTCTTAGAATGAACATTTAAAGCTACTGTTAAATAATTATATGCGTCAGATTCGTTCCTCTGTTCGAGACAGCGTAAAACTTTTGATAAAAGGACTCTAGGATGAGTAGGGCTAATTTTGAGGTTCCTTTCGATATGCTCATTTGATATTCTAGAATCTCCTATGGCCCGACATCTAGCGGCTACTAGTCCAGGCGAAGGGCGAAGCTTGGGGGGCTGTGGAGCAAACGAAGATGTTACGGCTCTGCGAGCTGCTGAATGTTGACTAGTTATCATATCTTGATAATCCAACTCGGAACATTCCATCGGTGTAAATTGCTTCAGCATCGTCCTCACACGTAATAAAAGACGATTAGCTGCTGTTCTTTTAATACTCTTATTCATTTGAAGCGTGCATTTGTAAGCCATATTACTTAGCTCCTTATGCACAGATAATGCGCCACCTTCTTTAGAAATGCGCCGTTTGTCTAAAGGCGGCTCTTCTGGCGGAGATACTATTTTCAACGAATCTTCGGCTACTTTAAGTCCAGTAGGAGGAGGAAAACCGATTAAATCGAAAAGAGATGTAATTTTCGCTTTCGGAACAAGTGGTTCAATTAAATCCATTCGAATAACTATGTAAGCATCACGACCGTGCTCGTCAGTAACACGTTCATTTTCATGTGCGGGGCCACGGGCACTGGTTGGCGGTAGATCTAAAATTGTATGTACAGATTCAGGTAAAATATCAGCATTATAAAATATAAGCTTTGCACACACAGTTACTCCGAATTGTCCTGGCTGGAGTAAAACACCAGCATCCACCAACGCAACGTATCGACCTCGTACTTCAATTTTGCCACTTTTCGGAACTCCAGCTATCTCAACATAGAAAACATTGTTTAATCTCTCCTGTAGTAATGTAGAATCCACCAGAACGCGCCTCATAGCATTCCAATGCACTGAATTATCGGATTTACCAATACTTAAATCGTTAGGAACAAACATGTCTTCGCTTGGCACATTTATCTCTGTATCGGCGGCGTGGCCTGCGTTGCTGGCGTTTCCCCATACAATTTTAGTAGCTGAAGACGCGCTCAATGACATACCAAATTTTAAGGCTATTGGATCATGGACAGCATCGAGACCTATGCCGCTGATAAAGGCTGTGCCGTCTCTCAATGGTGGTAGGCAATGTGCTGCAACCATCGTTAGTGTTAAAGGTATTTTATCATTGTTTATAGAGCCGTTATAACTCACATGTACGTCAACTGTACAACCCGATGGAATACCTGAATTAATAATCAAAAGCGGCACTTTTACGTTTATCTCTTTCTCTCCTAATACTATTGGATATAAGTCTACGTTTCCTCCTGCTTTATTATCAGTATTAAGAAAGGGGTCCTGGTCTTTTGACGGTTTTCCTGAACTTCCTCGAAGCAAAAATATAAGTGGCCGATCAACAATTATTTCTTGATCAGTTGCATTTTCTTCTATATTTAATGGTAAAACAATCGAATCAATCGTATGTCCGTTTTCCCATTTTTCTCCCAGTAAAAATTCATCATCGAAATATATAAGGAACGTACAATCACCAGCACCCGGGTGTTCCCCTTTTAAATACAAACTAAAGGTCACTAAACGTAAATCTAGGTCATAATCTTCAAAATCGGTTGACTTGGACTTGAAAGTATCCCGCGACTTATTTTTCTTTGCGCCTTTTCCTGACATATTTGTGTAGTTTACATTTTACTTCTACTGTGTTGAAATTCAGTTACAAAATAAAATACGATTGTGTTAAACGTATTTAATATTATATTAATGTTCGATTTAATTGATGAAATGCGATGAAAGTCTAATTTTCAAATTGTCATAGTGACCGCGTCACAGGAAATTTTTGTAATTTTCGAAAAAATTAACAATTTTGCTCGAGTCCGTTCAACGTCTAGCGTGCCTTGTCTGCGTCGAATAGAAATCCAGAAACTCTGTCTACCCCGCTGTTTTACAGTCGATTTAAGGCGTGATAATGTTCTTGTTTAATTTTTTTTACGTTATCTATACTCGCAATTCAATCTCCTTACTCTGTCTTGTCTCTGGAACAATTGACAAACATCTGATCTGACATTGACGTATGACGTCTCCATATTTTGCCATTTATTTGTTGTTGTAAAGTTAGAGATACTAAAATAAAATGTTATAAAATGTATACACTTTTACATGGATTTTACAAGTATATGGTACAAAAAGACGAATACTGTGTGTTGATTTTAGGGCTCGATAATGCTGGTAAAACGGTAATGTGATTAATTTTTTACACCTCTTACAAACTTTTACAACATATTTGCAACTTTTTAACTAATCAAAATAATATTCCCAAATATTTTTCAGACATATTTGGAGGCAGCTAAAACGAAATATACTAAAAAATATAAAGCTATGAATCCAAATAGAATCACAACTACAGTAGGTTTAAATATAGGTAAAATAGACGTGGATGCCGTTAGGCTCAGTTTTTGGGATCTCGGTGGACAGCAAGAACTACAATCTCTATGGGATAAGGTACTTACTTTATATAACAAACAATAGCATGATGTATCTTAAACTTTTAATACCAAACTACAGTCCAAGCTGGATAAGCGAGACAACCAAGGGACTGGATTATTTCTCTAGTTAATAGAGCTCTCTCCTTAATCCGAGATTCTCACTTAAATAGCTGTTTGTAAGGATTACACAATGACTTGTTTAAAGAGGTTTAAAGAGGTTTCCCAATTATTCAAGTTCAAATACACCCTTCTAAGACAATCAAATTGAGCCAGAAGCCTTTACTAAGCAAATCCAGCATTTTAACATGTAACTGGTACTTTTTGGATTAACTTTAAAGAATTAGAGTTTAAAAATATTTCATTAAAAAAAAAATTTTTCTACCCACTTAAAAATAAGAATGTAAAATACATAATTAGCTATTTAAAGAAGCAGATTGAAGCATCCTCAAGTCAGGATTTTTTTTGTTCTTAGTTAGGCTATAACTGCAACATATTTATATTATTTCAGTATTATGCAGAATGTCATGCAGTTATTTATATAGTTGATTCTTCTGATAGAGAAAGAATTTCAGAATCAAAAGAAACATTTGGTGAGTTTAGTTATTTATATTAATGTAAAAAAAATCCCCAGAGTTTTATGGAAGTGTTTTAATTTTTTTCTTTTCAACTCTAATTATAATTGTCAAGTACTATAAATAAATTAGTCACTATTGCTTATCTTTTATGATTTGGTTGATACACAAAAAAGGTTTTAATACTTTTGTTAAAACAGACTAGACCTTCACATAAACCTAAAACAACCCATATGTGTTTTTTTGAGATCTTTCTTATTTGGTTGATTTTTCAGACAAAATGATTGCTTCTGAGCATTTATCTGGAGTTCCACTGTTGGTGCTAGCAAATAAACAAGATATACCTGATTGTATGGGTGTACATACTGTCAAACCTATTTTTAATCAGAATGCACACCTAATTGGCGCTAGGGATATTATGCTAATGGCGACATCTGCATTAACTGGGTAAACAATTAATTTAGGTTAATTATGCAATAAAATTTAAATAGTAATAAGAAGTAATTTGTATTTTATTAATTGCATTCCAAGTATTTAGTGTAACTTTTTTTATAGGGATGGTGTAGATGAAGGCATTAGATGGCTGGTTGATTGCATAAAAAGAAACAGTGTGGACAGGCCCCCGCGCAACCATGACGACAAGTTATAGAACGATAACGACGCCTTAATTTAATATTGCGTTCACACTTACGTATACACGGAATAATAATGAGTTTTCCTATTAAGATAATGTGACGCGATCCATTGTTTTGTACATACTGTATTGACATTTGAAAATAAAACATTAATAGAACCGTGTCTATATTGCTGTCCTTTTCCAGTGATAAATTGTATTTTTGATAAGAGATACGTAATTACTCGATATTTGTGGAGTACCTGCACCTGATAAAACACCTCTGATAACAGTACAGTTTGCATTGTATGTGTATCGTGAACTACTGTGTCGTACTGAAATGTTGAGTGATATTTAATTTTGCGTGTTTAATGGCAAATATGGCTTATCCAATGTATGAAGTCGATTGGAGTGTTTTGCCGCCAGAACAAAATAGAAGGTGAGCGAAACAAAAAATATTAAATACGCGACGTAGTTTATAATGGAAAGTGATTTAAATGTCTAGTGACGATTTACTGTGATGTACGGAAATACAAAAAGTAAATAAAAAATAAAATAATTTATCTAAATGTTTCCACGTAGTAGCCTTTTCAAATATGTGCAAAATACTGTTGTCAAGTATTACCACTAGTCATAACAAGCACTTTTTTGAAAACGTACATAATATTTTAATATTTAAATCTTAAAAAATGTACATCTTCCATTTTTTTATTTTAATATTAATTAATTATGTACATTTATTTTACATAATTAAAACGCAACATAAAAAAAATTCAACGTCACGTATGAATGTGGGAGCGAGTTGGATGCGAGTCATGTCATGTCGGTCGGCCATGTTGAATTTCTTGCAACGCAGGAAATGTCAGCTGGCGGTTGCCGTATTAATTCTTTGTAAAATCTGTGATAAAAGATTTACCGGTACATTTTCTGTGATACACGATCAAACACACAACAATCCACAGATGTTTCGACCTAGTTGAGATTGAAGTGAAAATATGACAGTAGTATATCGGTGGTGGCATGCGATTTCTCTTCAATTTTTGTGGTCTGTTACGAGATGAAATTCCTGAAAGCCTAACAGCACACTAGTGAAAGTTTCCTTTTATGTTATGTTTTAAGTGTATATTTGTTACAACTCTATTGGAATCAAGTGTTTGGATACATCGAGTTGGTTGATCCCTCGGAACATCTCCCAGTGTCATTTAGTGTCAAAAACCATTCTACAGAGTTTTGGTTGTGGATCGTGTGTCTATTACTTCTAATTTCATACCAAAATGAACGGCTCGGAATCCGGGTAATTATTCTTAACTTGTATAAAATACATCAAATTGCTGTGGGACTTCCTAACAGATTATAATGACATCATAAAATTGATAAACAAGTCCAAGTTCTAAGTGATTAAGCTCCTTATAGATGTGACCTACAGTTCTATTCTATTTATCATTTAAAAGTAAAGGAGCATTCTGCATAAAAGTTTGTAGTAAACATCCATCCATTGGGGGAACGATTTGTTTTATAGGGATTGTAAACACTGGTCAAATAAATTGATGAATGTTCTTATTAACATATGGTATATCACTACCGAAGTACCTTATATAACTTCATATATTTAAGTTGTTTCTTTACAATATTTATATTAGGCTACTTCTGATTTTATTACTAGTCCACAAGCCATAAAAATATGTCTTCACTACATATGCAAATTATTATTTATTCTTGTAGAAATGCATATTATTTGATGAATATAAACAATGCAATATAACAAAATATTGTATAAATACCTTGTGGCAATCTTTGAGTAAATTTATTTTGTCAATAACTTAAATTTGTACAAATAATAAGTTTAGTGAGAAATAAATTATCTTAGAAGTAAAACAAGGCAGTTAATGTACTTTTAACAATGTTTTCTTCAATTGTATATTTTATTTATTTTACGAGAAACATTGTAAGAATGATTGTTTGAATTCCATACTGATAGTTGTGAATGTATAGTGTTAAGATTGAATGTGGATGGCTACAAAAGTAGAGGAAGACCGAAGAAAGTATGGATGGATTGTGTGAAAGAGCATATGCTTAAGAAGGGAGTGGATTCAGATATGACGGCTGATAGAGATGGAAGAGCAGCACATACTGTGCCGATCCTCCGTAAGGGATAAAGGCAAGTGGATGTTGAAGATGATGTGAATGTATAACATTTATAACTTGGTTGGAGGATGAAAAAAAATTGTTTGTTATATATCTTACTCACTGAGATATAATGTAAAATGATTAAGACGTCATTAAGGGGCTTTTGCTGTTAAAACATTTATAAAATTATTTCATAATTCTGTAAACCATTTATTGTGCAAAATACATCTATAGAATTGCAAACTGTTTCTAGGTTTTATGTTTAATTTTTGTTATACAGCAGAACCACAATATTTATTTATTGGTGATAACCACTCAGCATATGTGCTGATCTTCATGGCGATTTAAAATAGATAGCACACATGTTTTATATATAACAAACTCATTCTCCATTACAAAATAAAATGTACATTGTCACAATATAATTAAAGTCCAAGGGAAACACAAAATATTTTAAGTTGAGCCTTGAGTCTATGTTATAGAGGTTTTGGGCTCTGATAGGAAGGGGGCATATTATTTTTTGTAGTTATAGAGGTTTTTAAGTTACCAAGGTTTGAGTTATAGAGGTTCTACTGTATTATGTACTTAAAGGATTATAATTTGTTGCAGGTTTAACCCGGCATTTAACATTGCTACCATAAAACAAGTGGTAAATGAGGCTATTGAAAGAGGTGAGCACTATTTTAATTGTGCTAAACATTATATACATGTTATAACTAAATATTATGTGACTAGTAGCCAGGTAAATAAGATTTTTAAGTACATGGTTCCCGAAATTTGAAAATAAGTTGAATTTGGTCAAGTAACTTTTATTTTTTTAATCAAACTGCTTTGGGGTTGGTGATTTGGGTATATTATATTCTAGGTTTATTTATTGACGAGTAGTTTAGAATTTTCATTAGCAGCTAAAAGTAGCTAGTTATGGTGAAAATACTGCTTTCTGTTGATATAACAAATTTCTCAACTTATAGCAAAGTTTTCTGGTTATTTGGATCTAATAACAATAACTTCTTTCAAGCAATCTTTAGTAACATCTTATTTACTAATGCCTTAGTAGTGGTAACTGCTTTTGTCAATGGTTTAGGTCATAGAAAAAAAATAATCATTTTATCCCAATCTACAAGCCGTAACTTTCGCTGAACGAAGTAATTATTCTGCACTTTTTCACAAAAAGTTTCATTGCAATCCTAATCAATGTTAAGTGATGATTTTATCAAATTACACACATAGTATTAGCCTATTTACTTTTATCTATCACATTATTACATAGTATCTAAAAGAATGTACTTTACTCGGTATAGCGCTTACTGGCTAACTTACTTCACGCTTATATTAACATTTTATAACAAATGCACTGATGATTGCTTTCTGTGTGTGTGTCGTGTAAACAGTCGCACCGGTTTCAGTGCGGATGCCCACGCCAACGCGGCTGCGGGACCTCATACGACAGATCCGTGCTGCAAGAACAGCGGCTGAGGAACGAAGTGTTGTTAACAAGGAGTGTGCATATATTAGATCTACATTTAGAGAGGAAGACAGTGTTTGGAGGTAGGGAATTATATTTATAACTTTTGTATATGTCTGATGTTAAATTTTTTAAGCAGATTTTGCAAATTTTATAGTACTAATGATTGGATCATAGAAGGAAAATTGTTGTAATACAATTTCAATGTGGGGTTTTCCATTCATTGCTTTTAAAAAATCCACTGCTAAAATGGCTACTCTATTTAACTCAATAAAATCAATCGCACAATCTAGCCTAGGTCTACTTCCCAGGAATATCTTCTGATTGTTTAGATAAATAGCTGATTATTGTTTGTATATAGATGTCGGAATATAGCGAAGCTCCTATACATCCATATGCTGGGGTATCCGGCGCACTTTGGCCAACTGGAGTGCCTCAAGCTGATCGCCAGCCCGCGCTTCACCGACAAACGCGTAGGATACCTTGGCGCTATGCTGCTACTGGATGAACGGCAAGATGTGCATCTACTGATCACGAACTGCTTAAAGAAGTGAGTACAAAACGATTATCATTATGTGTCTGAGGGGCTCAGAGTCTACTAACAGGTTGTGACTAGGCCATAGTCAACCACACTGGCCAAGTGCATCTTAGTTGACTTCACACATATCTTTGAATTTCTACCCTGATATGAGCAGGCTGCGTCACGTTTTCCTTCACAGTAAAAATGTCGGGTTATTATTCATACCAATATTTTGAAATGATTATATCATATACAATTATAATTAACAGTGAAGTGCAGTCGAATTAAAGTGATAAAGAGAACTAAAGTCTTGGTATCCTACAAATTGAACAATTTATGGGTCTGTTTGCCGCGTAATAATTGTAGGTTCTGTTTTTCTTCATTGAAAGAATTAGCCCATTAATATGAGCTCACAAATGGTTTTTAGAATGAAGTAATATCGGTTGATTCTATCACGTATTAAAACTATTTTGTCAACGCTTTGCTTCTGTCATACGAATCCTTACAAATGCCACCATTCAGGTTAATCTACGCTTATTACTTTATATAGTAGTAGTTTTTTTTATTACAATCGTTTATTTATTCAATGACTTTAAATTCTAAGTTCTTCTTCCGAAAAATATCTAAAATTTACTAAAACAAGGCAAGGTATTGTGAAGTGAATCCAGAATGTTCAATTTCTCTGTGGATTTTTTGATTCATTTCCTTGTTTCCTCTCCTTTGTTTTTTTTTTAAATAGAAATAATTGCGTATTTACTACTTGCTATCCTCGTTACTTTATTTTATCGTGTGTTGCAATTACGTAACGTTTAGGACGTACACTAATGGAATAATGTTCTTTTTCGCATTACCAAGTACCAGATATGGCATGTAAATTTACATACGCTCACTGATACTCAAGTTTGTTTTTTCAATAACAATAACCAAATACGTGTTACTGACACGCCTCTCTTGTTATCACTTGTTAAACATTCTGTTTTAAACTGAAATAATTTTCTATCCATTTTAAAAAGAACAGAAATAACATATTTTTTTCAAATCAATGACTCGAGCATATAATTACATAGAGTCAAAGATCAATGACACTCATATACCACGACACTAATAATTGTCAATTACAGTAATCGATAGTTCATAACCGATTTAAATATAACTAGGGTTCGATTTAAAAAATACGTCCAAGAAAATTATTAATTGTTATACAGAAAAAAAACCATATAGTTTTGACAATCGTTTCGCGCAATATTACGTAGTAACTTTCGCCCGCAACTCCGTCCGCGTGGAATTATAAAAAACAAAACTGAGTAGCCTATGTTTTCTTCCAGACTATTCTCTATATCTCTTACAAATTTCATCTAAATCCGTCAAGTCGTTTAGGCTACAAACACTAACAAACATCCATCCATCCATCTAAACTTTCGCATTTATGATATTAGTAAGATTTGTAATTCTAAAAATCACCTTAAATACTCTAAAAGCTATGAATAGTATATTCTACAACAAAATTTTCTATGAACATAAAATCTTTCGTATGTCTTCAATAATATAGTTTCATTACTAAAGGTTACAATGCCATTGTTAGGAGAATATTAAATGTTTCTACAATAGAATTATAAACAAGCCTGCAAGTTGACACAATTCATAGTGCAAACCTCACATAGTGTAACACTAGCTGTTTCCGTGCGGCTTCATCCGCATGAAATTATAAATACTTTATTGTATTGTTTACATTTGTCAAATTCTCAATTAAAAATGTCAAAATTACAGTTACCATAATAACCTTGCTTCGTGAATGTTGGCTTGTAGTTTATAGTCCCTTTCCCACATGAAGCTTTTTTCTAATTTATTTACCCCCTCAGTTTAATACCGTGAAAATATAGAGCCTAAAGCGTGTCGTAAGTGTAGGACTTTTTATTAAAGAAAGAGTTATTCTTAAATATGCTGTGATTGTTGACATCCTACGAAAGTAGTGTGTGTGTGCTTTATTATCAGGGAGATTCAATATTTCAAATTTCTTTTGTACAGCGACTTAAACAGCAATACCCAGTTCGTAGTGGGTCTAGCGTTATGCACGCTGGGCGCTATCGCCTCGCCGGAGATGGCGCGGGACCTCGCCTCCGAAGTGGAGAGACTGATCAAGTCGCCCAACGCCTACATCAAGAAGAAAGCAGCTTTATGTGCCTTCAGAATCATAAGAAGAGTACCAGACCTAATGGAGATGTTCCTACCAGCAACTAGAAGTCTTTTGACGGAAAAAAATCATGGTAAGTGGCATTTTAATTTAATTAAATTTTAATTTAATTAATTTAATCTAATTTCATACATGAATGTGTCTTCTTTCAAACTTTGACCCTGAAAACTGACTCAGGAAACCTCAAACTTTTTCTAGAAAAGCCATCTTAATTCTTAATTATATAAATGAAAATGTTTGGATGGATGGATGGATGTATGTTAGAGTTTGTAGCCAAACGCCTGAACGGATCTTGTTACAATTTGGCATAAATGTCGAGGATAGTCTGAAGGAACACTAAGGCCACTTTTTTTAATTCCACGGACGGAGACGCTGGCGAAACCTAGTATAACAATAAAAATCGAAGGGTTTTATATGCGTCCATCGTAAAAAGGATATAGTTAAAGATTTGAAATCACAGGAACTCGAGATTGTTAAAGGATAATAAAGAATTAATCAAACATTATCTGACCTATCATATAAATCAGAATCAATGTCATATTTCAATCAAATATCATTCTTAACTACATGTGTTTAAAGTTGAAAATTGCATACATAGTGTAATTTTATAAAATGGCCACAATTGATGTGTGAAGAGCGTCGCGGTCTGTTTACCTTGTGAATGGATGACTCGATGTCCCCTTTGAATTACAGCACGTATAAAGTGACAACGCTCTAACCTATTTTATTTCGTTTTTATTGTTATGCCCAATATCACATAGAACCCTTATCTTTATTTGTTAATGTCAGATTCTCTTACTTTTGATGTAATCATACTATCATACTAATATGCGAAAGTTTATATGGATGGATGGATGTTAGAGTTTGGAGCCTATACGGCTGTACGAATCTTGATGAAATTTGACGTAAATTGCATAGTCTGGAAGAACACAGGCTACCTGCTTTTGTTTTATTTTAATTCCACGCGGACGGGTTCGTGGGCAAAAGCTAGTTTTTTATAAGTCAAATTAAAAGGACTACGACTACTTATGTGTTTGAAGTCTAGAAAACGTTATTTATAATCGCGTTTGTAGTATCTTTGGGATTTGCCAAACATGTAGGATACGAATATGTCTGCGTTGATAAGATTATAGGACACGAGATAATTCTCTCAACAATGTTACTTGTGTGGTCAAAATTTTGATAAAGTTGGCATAACTAACCCCGATTCTATTTTACGACCTATTTTAAACCTAGATTCAATTTTAAACCTATAAGATTTATATTAAACATTTAAAATAAACTTTACAATAAAACAAAATATGCCACTTTCAGAAATACTATACAAACAAATACATAATGTATAAGTCAAATATTTAAACTAGCTTTCGCCCGCGACTCCGTCCGCGTGGAATTAAAAAAAAAGCATAAGTAGATAATTAGCCTATGTGTTCTTACAGACTATCCTCTACATCTATTCCTAATTTCATCGAAATCCGTTCAGCCGTTTAGGCTACAGACTCTTACACACTTCCATCCATCTAAACTTTTGAATTTATAATATTAGTATGATATATTCGTATATTGGTAAAAGGTAAATATATGTTGCAATATTTTATTGATGATGTCATAATTTTGTTCACCAGGTGTTCTTATCACCGGCGTGACGCTCATCACCGAAATGTGCGAGAACAGTCCTGACACACTCAATCACTTTAAAAAGGTTGGTAATAATTATTCGTATTTTAACCATAAGTTACATATGTTATAATATAAAAGCCTAGTGTAAGTAAAACTCGCTTTAAACAAAACATGTTACCTTATCAATCGATCGGAATGACTCATATCGATACACGAATGTTAATAGAAAATCGATTGCAAAAAGCAATCGATTCTGTCCTAGAAACGATTACAGATTTTCTAGTCTAGATACGTATTAACCTGACTCTGTTAAGTTGGCACGTCAGGTAGAAGAATATTCTCGTGTTGATGTGCCAAATCAAATAGTTGTCAGTTGACGGACTGGTTGCTTTTTATAGCGGTGTAACTAGTATTGTCTATCAAGGCAAACTATTAATTAATTTGCTATTGATTGTAAACTTCTTTGTTATGGACTGACTTAAGTTCTTTGACCCCAATAATAAAAGAACCAGTTTGTAAGATGGTTTTTAAAAAAATACATTAAATTATTCTGGCTATAAGATTAGAAAACCTATATATCTTTGATATTTTGTATTTATAATCTCGATAAAAACTAGCTGATTTTATTAATTTTAATAAAAAATGTAATATTTGATTATGTAAATATCTGCAATGCTGTTGCTAGTCCAGGCTAATCTATGTGACCCATTGACCTAAAGCAAACAGCCATATAGAGTAAGGCAGTACATAAATTTACTACTAATATTATAAATGCGAAAGTTTAGATAGATGTTAGTGTTTGTAGCCTAAACGACTTGACGAATTTCGATGGTAGAGATGTAGAGTATAGTCTGGAAGAGCACATAGGCTACTTTTTTTAATTCTACGCGGATGAAGTCACGGGCGAAAGCTAGTTTACTATAACAATCATATAAAAATGTCTATGAAGTGATTACTTTGGAATATAATATTAAAGGATATTACTTGGTATATGACAGAAACGTCGCCTCTAACTGAATACGTCGAGGCGAACGTTATCGTGTTTATACAATGAGTGTTTAACTATCGCTTATCGCAAACTGTACATCGGTTATAAATGATTGTTACAAAACATGACTTACCTGTCACTTGTATAAGGAAATTTTGTTGTTTTTTTTTTTAAATACACTAGAATTAATCTATACTATCTATACTATTATAATAAAGTGTAAACACACACTTCTTTGTTACCTAAGATGTCAGCAATTACAGCATATTTTTGAATAATTCTTTTTTTAATAAAAAGCCCTACACTAACGTCAAGCTTTAGGCTAGATATTTTAACGCCATTAAACTTAGGGGTAAATATTTTGGATAAAAACCCTAATGTGGGAAATAGACCATCAGTTGCTGCCAACATCAAGGAAGCAAGGTTGTCATCATGTCATGTCATTTTGACATTTGTAGTTGATAATTTGACAAATGTAAAAAATAAAATAAAATTCTCACAATCTCATGCGGATGAAGTCGCAAGGGAACAGCTAGTATCTAATAATACTTATTCAAATTAATTGTTAACTTTAAGATCTGTTTTGTGCAATTTAAATAGATTTGTTTTGAATTGTAATTTATTTCTTACATTTTTAATGTTTGTTGATGAAAGGAATGTCCATATTATTATAACTTAGTTAAGTATTTTTGGAGGTTATAAAATACTAATATATTTGTGTTGTCCCGTAGGAGAGCGGACAGCGCGAGGTAATCACAGTCGCTGGTCCTTGCACTTATACGTTCATATGATGACATTGCATGTAATTTTGAATTTTATTCCTTTACAAAAGATGTTATAATCGCGTGACCACCTTGCGTGCTTATCTTGAAAAGGTAACATGGCCTCGTTTAATCTAGAATCCGATCGAAAATCCGACACCCAAACCACTCAGGTCAATGGCCCAAGTGTCCGCAAAAATAAAACCAGATTGACTCATGTTATTACCGATAATGTTACGGAATAGTAATATATTTCTATTCCGAATAATAGATTTAAGTGGTAATAAACTGATATTTTCCCCTTAAAAATACGATATAGGTTTTTTCATTGTTTTATTGTGGCTATCTTTTTGTAGGTTACATTTTCTATAAAATCTAGAATCTTCTATGATTCCTAAATTTTATGAATATGAAAACAATAGCTTTGGCTCGCCTCTCCTTCTCTGTGGAATTGAAAAAACAAAATTGAATAGCCTTTGTGTTCTTCCACACTATCCTCTACATCTATGCAAAATTTCATCGAAATCCATTCAACAGTTTAGGCTACAAACTCTAACAAACATCCATCCATCCATCCATTTAAAATTTCACATTTATAATATTAGTAAGATTATGTATCTTTTACAATAAAATTAACGGGATTGGTCTAAAATGGTGGTTAAAAATTCTTTTTACATGAAATGTCAACATATGAATATTCAATCGCATGATTGTTATATACTCTGGATATATTGTGTTGGTCCTCAAAAGCCTTACAAATATAGCTTATTTTAGACTGTATTAACATAGGCGTAAAGTTCATTATCTCTATGTAGGATATTTTTGCACATTAATGTAAATAATTTATCATAGAAATAGCTTGTAGTTAATTTTAATGCGAAATATATTAAAAATATTATCGAGTAATCCATATTAATGTAGTCCTGTTTTTAAGACATAAATAAATATTTAATTATTTAGTTAACATATGTCAAATTGTTTAATTCGTGATATAGTAGATTATATGTAGGTTTTGAAAATATGTATTTAAGTAGTCTACATTTAATTGGATAGAAAAATAATTATTAATATTCAATAGATTACATTATTATTTAGAATAATTTTGACACTTGTATTTCAGTATATCAGCATTTGTAAGGCTTTTGAATATAATTGGATTTGGTATTTTGGGCTTTCAGTACATGTATGGTGGTAATATATGTATTTAGTTTATGTGCTTATAATTTCTTTCCTTCAGGATTTTTATTTAGTTATAATTTTATAGATTATGTTCAGTTTTTTTAATGTTTTTAACCGATTTTTGGTGTACATGTAGAATTAATTTTAAATATATAAGTTTATTTTTGGGTATAAAGCCACGAATGTTTTTCAAGCACGGGAATTGACTAAATTTCAATGGATATGGTCTGTTTTTAAGTTTTTATTGCCCATATAAAGCCTTATGTATCAATGTTTGTGAAATGCTGTAACTTTTTTATCTTAAAGAAAGTATTATTTCAATGCATCTGCCTTGAGAGTAAATGTGTTCAAGTATATTATGGCTTATGTATTTGGGCAATTGTTTGTATTATTTTATATGGATGTATATTGTTTACTTTGTATTCTAGATTGTTCCAAATCTGGTGAGAATATTGAAGAATTTAATACTGGCGGGATATTCACCTGAACATGATGTTAGCGGTATCTCTGATCCATTCCTACAGGTAAATTTTATGCTTATATTATAAAGAAGGAAATGTTTGTATATTTGTATTTTTGTATGTAATGATAGTGAAAAATCTAGTTAACCAAGTTCAAAATTTCCTTTTTCTATTCGAAAACTTCTGAGTAACATAAGCTATTTTTATAGTATTCATGTCTTTATTTATTGTAGATAGATTTATCATGTTCAAAGTTACAGACCTACTCTGAAACTATTAAGCAAGCAAGGTCTTAACTTGAGGTCCTCAGCCTATGATCTAGATTTTGGGCAACTACCATAAAAATAGTCTTTAGAAGTAGTTTTTTTATCTATGTTACACTTTTCTTGTATCTAGAGGGGACTGCCCCCATTCATTACTAGCGATACCAACGATTCTAAGTGTTATTTTACCAATTTCCAGGTGAAAATCCTCCGTCTACTTAGAATACTAGGCAAGAACGACGCGGAGGCGTCCGAAGCAATGAACGATATACTAGCCCAAGTCGCTACAAACACTGAGACGAGTAAAAACGTCGGCAATACAATATTATACGAAACTGTACTCTCCATCATGGATATTAAGTCTGAAAGTAGCTTGCGTGTGTTAGCTATTAATATCCTGGGCAGATTTCTATTGAATAATGATAAAAATATAAGATATGTAGCGCTGAATACGTTGTTAAGGACGGTACATGTTGATACTTCTGCGGTGCAGAGACACAGGACTACTATATTGGAGTGTTTGAAGGTATGTATGTAACATATTTGAAATAATAAATCACAGGTAACTAGTAACGTTTGGAGTTGGGTTTTGAAGTAATGCATTCATTTATATTCATAATTTAATGTGATTCTATGGAAATTAAACCGGTAACCCTTAATTTAATATCTAATTCTAAAGTTTAGGCATTTCACAGTATTTCACTGTTTCATGATTAATGTCTGTCTTAAAATGTTAATGCTAGATATGATTTCGTTAGTATTGCAAATAACTGTAAATCATGCTAATATTATAAATGTGAAAGTTTAGTTTTAGATGGAGTTTAAGAGTTTGTAGCCTAAACGTCTGAACGGATTTCGATGAAATTTGGTATAGATGTAGGGGACAGTCTGGAGGAACAGATAGGCTACTCACTTTTGTTTTTTTTTTAAATCCACGCGGACGGAGTCGCGGGCGAAAGCTAGTGACTAACAGACTGCATTAGTAATGAGAGTCATGGATTATGTTAATAAGAAATTATTTTTCTTGTCACGTACGAACAAGAATGAAGGCTAATAGGTCATCTGCATGCACTTATTAAAATATCTAATGATACCAATATCTCGTGATCTCGATGTCGTGTCTGTAAGTCTAGAAACGTCTAGCACTATGCTTCATTGTGCTAGGACCCGGACGTGTCTATCCGGCGACGCGCGATGGAGCTGTCGTTCGCGCTGATGAACAGCCAGAACATCCGCGGCATGATGAAGGAGCTGCTGGTGTTCCTGGAGCGCGCGGAGGCGGAGTGCCGCGCGCACTGCTCCAGCGCCATGGTGCTGGCGGCCGAGCGCTACGCGCCCTCCGCCAAGTGGCACCTCGACACGCTCTTCCGTCTGCTGCTCAAGGTACACCTTCACCACTCTCACCTTCTACTTCTACAACATCACAATCTTACTTGCTAATATTATAAATGCGAAACTTTAGTTGGATGGCTGTTAAACTGTCTTACTAATGTAAAAAAGAATGTATAAATGGATGGATGTTACTATGTATATTTAGAATGGTTCAATGGATTTTGATCTAATTCGGCACAGATATGGAACATATCCGCGACGATGTGGTTGCGGGTAAAGTCTTGTGATGTAATAAAAACCCATAAGATCAAATCATGGTCAAGGGGAGGGGGGCTAGTAGAAAAGATCAAAATACGTTTTAGAGTAACGAGTTGTCTAGGGTTTTCGGTAACAGTATTTCGATTGACTACTTACCAATTATCGACTCTTTATTGGAAAAGGCACCTGCTCCGTCCATGATTGAGTATTTTAAATAAATAAACCCACACCGACATTCGGGTAGATGAAAAAAGGGGCCGGTGGTTTAACCAATTTCTACTCTGCACTAATTCCCAACAAGATTTCTACCATTTCTTTATGTGTCACTTCATTGATTTATTTATTAAGGATAGTAAATTTTTTTAGGCTGGGAATTACCTGCGCGACGACACGGTATCGAGCACGATACAGATAATATCTGCGTCAGCTGCGGAGCGGCAGGCGTACGCCGCCATGCGGCTGTGGACGGCGCTGCAGCGGTGCGCGCTCTGCGGGGACGCGGCAGACAAACAGCCCCTCGTACAGGTCAATATAACCATACTAATATTATAAATGCGAAAGTTTAGATGGATGGATGTTATACTCTGTAGCCTAAACTGCAGAGGATAGTCCAGAAGAATACATAGGCTACTTTTGTTTTTAAAATTTCTCATGGACAGGAAAACCTAGTTTATAAATATTTTCTATAATTTATTATTTCTATAAATTATTAATTAACCATAAATACACACTTCTTTAGTATGCATTTTTTTATATCGACAATCACAGCGTTTTGAATACTTTTTGAATTAAGAGCTTAAAAAAAATATGAGCGCTTACAACAATCAGCAGGCTGTATAAGTTCACGCTATTTAATTTAAGGTATGAATGAATTGAAAAAAAAATCATGCAGGAAAGGGACAAAAACAAGCCAATAGCAGCTGAGCCAGGTTTCCATAGTTACTTACCAATCGGTAAGCCTAAATCTAGGCTGGTAATGGTTTTTTAACACTCCTTTATTGCGGATTTTCCTCATAAAAATGAGTATAGATGACCTTTAGTATTACTGACTGTTAATATTTGTTACTAGTAATTTATTGTGTATTTCAGGTAGCGGCATGGACAATAGGAGAGTACGGAGACCTGCTAGTGTCAGAAGCCAGTAGTGCTATATCAATGGTGGACGAGGATGGCTTCGGTATGATTTAGTTTTAAACAAAGAAAAAATGTATAGAATAAGCATACACATCGCTTGTAACTTTTTCATATCTGGTGTCTGATTGTCGAAATCTCAAGCAAACAAATAATTCAAACCCTAAGAAGCGCTTCGGCGTGTCAAATATAATATTAAGATGTTACCGTACAAAGAAGTTACGGGTGAAAAAATGTAACCTATATCTAGACTGTATTGCTTTAAACAACAATACAATATTATTTTAAATCATACTAAACGGATTTCGATTAAATTTGGTATAGAGATAGATGTTAGTATTGAACAATACATAGGCTTCCACGAGTACGTAGTCGCGGGAGAAAGCTAGTTTACATGTAAATTGTGCAGATGAGTTCGTTCGTCCGTCGGAGGAGTATGTGATCGACATCTACCAGAAGCTGCTGTGGTCGACGCAGCTCTCCATCACCACCAAGGAGTACCTGCTGCTGTCGCTCGCCAAGCTCTCCACCAGGTTCTCCACCACGCCCAGCCAGGAGTTAGTATACATGAAGAATATTCGTAATTACAAAATATAGGAATTTTAAAATGAAGAGTGTACCTTAACCGTTCTTCTGGCATTTAAAATGTCTATGGACGTCGAATCAAGTAGCATTATGCAATTCACTGCTTATTTCCTCCTTCCATTTCATAATGCTTGTCTATTAGGATAATAGTATATAAGATCTTTTTGTTTGATTTTTGTGTGTAAATTACTGAAAACACTAGTTCACTGATTTATGTGTTTTTTTTTTTAATTACTTACAATGTTTGTGGATTATCTTAGATAGGTAATTATGTTTGTAATCTGTTTCAGTAAAATCCGTGTGATCATCGACACGTTCGGTTCTCACATACATATTGAGCTGCAGCAGAGAGGCGTTGAACTTTCACAACTTTACAGGTACTTTATTATTATTTTCTTTTGAAACTAAACAAAATATGTCCAGTTTCCTTGCGAAATTGTCTTGATTATCAATTCTAATATTTAAGGAGGAAAGACTTGTATTTTTTATGTATTGTAATAACTAAAAAACTACCTGTCCGATATCAAACATTCTTTCATCAATAAATAGCTATGTTATCATTAAGTAATAGGCTATATTTTTTGACCGACTTCCCAAAAGAATTGGGTACTCAATTTTTCAGTAATTTTTTTTTACATTTAATATATATACCTACTTATTGTTTTTTTTTTAACCAAAAATAATGTGATTTTAGTACTTAGAGTAATATAATGTAATGTAACAGACAATACGCGCACTTACGCCCCGCGCTGCTGGAGCGCATGCCCGCCATGGAGGCGCCGGCGGGAGACCGCGACGACAGCGACGCGGAGCACGACCCCGCGCCCGACTCGCCGCAACACCGCGCCGACAGGCCGCAGCCGGTATGTACACACGTGTCTACACACGCACAGACACGTGCTCGCATATGTATAGACACCTGTTTACACACGTACGGACGCTTAAGTGCTCCCACGGACACGTGCTCGTTTGTACATGGACATATACACGCGCTGAAATGTGCTTAAACATGCACGGACAGGTGCTCTCTCATAGCATGTCGCATGGCATGCAGGCACATGCTTACATACGCATGTGTGAGTGTGTGGGCACGTGTCTATATGTGATCATGCACTCAAAATATTTATACAATATGTTCTACTTTATAATATTATGTAGCTTTTTCTGTTTTTAAAATACAGCAAGAGAAATAGTATGTTTTTACAGATTTGTGCAGACATTAATATAACTAGACTTTAAAAAGTGAAGTCTATTCTACTGAAATGCATTTTATTTTCACTAAAAACTATAAAGGCGGAAACCAATCAGATATAGATATAAGTTTTTTTTATTGTATTATGAGTTATTAACAGTTTTATCAGTGATTTATTGTAACATTTCAGGACGCACTACTCGACCTCATCATCGGATCTGAGCCGTTGTCCAACGGCGAGGCGGAGCTCCCCGCGCCCGCCGTCGCCAGCGACAACAATAACACCACGAATGTTAGTTAATGCATATCAATATTAATTAATCCCACGGGAACCGTAACTAGAATTAGTTATAAATAAATAGGATAAAAAGTAGCCTGTGTTCTTCCATACTTTGCTCTACATCTATGCCGAATTTAATGGAGATCCGTTCAGGTTACAAACTCTTACTAACGTCCATCCATCTATCTAATCTTTCGCGTTTATTGTATCCGTGTAAATGTACAACATGTTATTTATTTATTATGAAAATGCTCTATTATTTATTGTTAATGATTTCAGGATATCTTGGACCTACTGAGCGGGTTGGACCTGAGTACTCCGAGCATGGCCCCGCCCGCGCCCGCGCCTGCGCCGCTCGCCAGCGCGCCAGACAACCTGCTCCTAGACGGGCTGTTCTCATCGCCAACGCAACCTGTATCACAACCTGGTAAGTGAGGCTTTTTTAAATATTGCCAGTGTTTGCCTTGAAGAGGCATTCACAGGATTACCAGGCTTGAGGAGGCCGAGCGCAGATGGCGCTTAGTGTAAACCTCGTTTATAGGTAACTAAGCTCGAGAGCTCCTTTAGGAGCCTCGGCTTGCGCTGTCACCTCGTTTTTATTATTGGATTGGTGCTTTTAATACGACGACTCCATCAAACGCCGACAGGCAACGCTGTTGTTACGTAGTACTCTTTACTGCCGCAATGTCGTTAGTGTTGCAATCCTGGCGCTAGTGTTGCATCGATTCCGACATATATATAAGTCAATATCGCCTAAAATGCCGGTTGAAACAAATAGCCTTTCAGCCGTCGTTATAATTATGTTATTCCAGAGACGACAGTAACGGCGTTAGAGCGTAACGGGCTGCGTGTGGAGTTCCTGGTGAGCGGCGGGGACACCGCCACGCTGACGATGCGCGCCACCTCCTCCGCGCACGCAGCTCTCACAGACTTCCTCTTTCAGGCCGCTGTGCCCAGGGTCAGTTCACTTCTAACAAACTGTAGGATACTGACATGTGAAGGGACAAACCCTATACGCGATTTCGCATTAGGTGAAAAATTTCTGTTTAAATTATTTATAAAATACTTTCAGAGATCTTAAGAGTTCGATTGTCGAAGTACTCTTGAATAGATCGATATTTATTTTTCTCTCATAAGTGCGAAAGTTTAGATGGATGTTTGTTGAGGTTTGTAGTTTTAACTGCTGATGGGATTTCGACAAAATTTGGTATAGAGGTAGAAGTCTGGAAGAACACATAGGCTACTTACTTTTGTTTTAATTTCAAGCGGACGGCGTCGCGGGTTAAAGCTAGTAGCTAATATATATTGTACAATTTTACTGGTACAATTAGTACGTTAGTATTTAGTGGTAATTTACACTTTTGTAAGTACTCCTAAAATTACCATAAAACCACCCACACGATAGCAAACCTGTGCTTTAGTTATTTTAAGTATAAATAGTGTGTATATGTCTGTTTGTGTGTCGTCAGACATTCCGACTGGACATGATGTCTCCGTCGGGCACGGTGCTGACGCCGCAGGGGGAGATCACGCAGGTCCTCAAAGTCACCAACCCCTCCAGGGTGAGTATTACTAAGCAAAGTAATTTAATACCACTATATGTTACCATGGTAATGTAGCTTCTGTGTTGCTATTGTCTGTTTTTTTTTTTTGTGTAACATTTTTGTTCATTTTATTCACCCCTTTAGTTAAATAGCGTCAAGATATATAGACTATAGTATACCGTAGGTGTAGGTCTTTTTTTTAAGAAAAAAGGAGTTTTTCCAAAAATATACTCCGATTGCTGACATAGAAGTGTATATCTATTATATAGAGATATATTATAAAGAGGAAAGATTTGTAATTTTGTATGTATTGGAATAAATCAAAAACTACACCGATTTCAAAAAATCTTTTCCCAAAACATTATCACTAACATATTTAATACTATTTCTTATTATCCCGTGGACAAAGTCACGGATAACAACTAGTTTATTATAGTATATTAATATAATTAATGTTTACTTTCAGACACCATTGCGGTTAAGAATACGAGTGTCGTACAACATCGAGGGGTCTCCAGTACTGGAGCAGGCGGAGGTCAACAATTTCCCACCGGAGCTGTTCAACTGACGAGCGAGATGACACCGGATGACACCGCGGTTGACACCATGTTGACACCATGTTCACGACATACGAAGGGTTGACAGGGATATCTGATCCAGTTAGATGTCAGAAATTAACAACTTACAAATCTTATTAACTTACTTTCCCTGCGACTTCGCGAGAATTAAAAATAAAGTGGCCTACGTGTTCTTCCAGGCTATTATCTAGATCTATGTTAAATTTTATCGAAATCCATTCAGCCGTTTAGGCTACAAACACTAACAAACATCCATCATTTGTTAGAATTTGTAGCCTAAGCAGCTGAACGGATCCTAATGAAAGTTGGTATAGATGTAGAGGTTAGTCTGGAAGAACACATAGGATATTCAGTTTTTTTAATATTAATTCTACGCGGATTAATTCGCGGACGAAAGCTAGTATCTAAAAAAGACAGTATGAAAAAAATCTTGTTATTTTTGAAATTGTCAGATATCCTTGTTTGTCGAAATTTCAATGGAAATGAGAAATTAAATTAACAAATCACCTTAAAATAAAAATTCCATGTAAACTTTGACGTCTGTCAGATTGTAAGGCGATTAACACGCGAAGTGTTTATTTCGTTTCAGTATTTGACCTTGTAATGTTTATGGAGTTATTTCATTTTAACATTTATAATGATACAAATCTTTTTTTTTAAATTACGGCCTTCTAAAGGTAAAATAGTTTTTTTCTCATTTCAATTGAAATCTGAATGAAAAACCCCTAAACAGTAACCGCTAGATATCCTTTATGATAACATTTTAGCAATATTTGTATAAGTTATGTGCAAATAGAGTGAGATTTTTGACAAGATAGAGGTAAACATTAAATACATTAACAATGGAGTTAATCAAGCCTCTAATGTCTTTTGTAAGAAATTTTCATACTAATGTTTGTTTTACATTTTGGTATCTGGCAGCTTATTTGAATTAGGCAAATTAGAGCCTCATTCGCATGAACGTTGTGAGTTTTTCTGTATAAAGTATTGAAAAAAGAATTATTTTTACAATTATTGAATTTTTGCGATGAATTTATACGAAAAAGTTTGAAATAATTATTGCCTGTCCCATTAAATTGTAGATTGTCTGATTACACTCCAATGTGTAAGATCTGTGATGGAAATATCGGATTTTGTTAGCTTAACTGATAGTGATGTCATTTTTTAGCTATCTGAGCCTTTATCAGCCAGTAGTGGGACAGGCACTTAATCTCCTAAACTTTATTAAATTATTTAAATGATTGGATCTAAAATAAACCAGTGTAATGATTAGTACTTAAATTTATTAGTAAATCTCGATTTTTAACACTTTTAAAAGTGTTAAAAACATTGGAATATATGAAATTTTGAGATTATAATTCAATTAGAAAACATGGCAACATTTTCGTTGACAATATCTTTATTAAGCCCTTTATATTGTAAACCATTACGTCCATGTGAATGAAGCTTTAATTACTTGAGTTAAAATCAACAAGATGAATAAAAAATGTCGACGGTTTGTTTGTGTTTAAAACATCTATCGGTGTAGTTAGTAGTCACTAATTCTAGGAGATTATGTTTAACATTCCACTTTTTAGATATTTTTACTAAGACTTTTTACCATTAAGTCTGAAAATGTTAGGGCCCAAGCTTGTGCGGAGTCTTACGTCCCCATTGAAACTTACGGAGGGATATGTTGTATTTATTTGTTCCCTTTTAAATTGCTAGCAATATTACTAATTTTTTCACATTATTCAGTGATTCTCAACCTTTGGTCATTTGGTAAAAAATTAAACATTTCCTCTGAATTCTATGAAAATAGTGTCATGTGAGGTAAATGCTAAAAAAGAATGTTCTTTTAGTAATTACTAAACTTCTATAGATACTAAATGTTGAGAATCTCTGGATAAAACATAAAAATATTTTAGTAGCTGAATATTTTGTCATTCTCCATCATAAGTATTAAATAAATCTCAATAAATAATAACAATAAATTAAATTCTGTTTATATAAAATCAGTATAAAAGATACAAAATTCTATATTATATAGCGTATATTGTATATGAATATATAAAAATAACAAAATTCACCAATAAATTGCAATTGGGATTATTTTTATATTGTCCTTGTTTATTTCGCTGTACATAACGGATGTGAACATGTAATATATGTAAGTTTTACTTGCGGGGAGCGACTTATGTACTTAAATATATCCACTGATTTGTACGTGTGATACACCTAGGTTATATTTCGAAAATTTGAGGTTAAATTAGTTATTTGTCTAACATTTCTTTACATTTTATTTATTCATCTATTATGGGCTCCCACTGTACTTTGAAATCGGACTTTTTATTCCAACATTGTGGATTAAAATACAGTTATAATCAATTATTATTTAGTACCTACTTATCGTTTGCATAATTTGACAGAAATAATCATGTGAAAATCTATTTTCTTTAGAAAATTTATTCTTTTAAGAAACCCACATTCCCACAGTCCCAGTGTGGAGTCCTATTCTCTTTAAGTTAATTTAATAAGCTTTTAATATGAAATTATGCTTCAAATGCTAGGTTATGTAATTAGTGCCGTTCCTTTTAGTTAGTCATTGAATATTCAATGAGGGATGTAAATATATAAAACATAACAATAAACAATAGAAATACAATGTTATGTTTTCCCGCTTTTTATGTTTTGGGATAATTAAAATTTTCAATGTTAGTTATTTTCCTGTTTGAGCACTTCAAAGCGATGCATTATTTTCGCTAAGTTTTAACAAGGATTGATTCTTTTACATTTGTAGCTATCAGTTTGTACATTCGCCGACCTATAGTTCACTGTAAAGAGAGCTTCGCAAGATATATCGTATTTTGGTGCTTGTTTTTTAATATATAATAGTATCTGATTGACTAGAAGGCCCTCCACGACGTGAGATGTTATGTATAACTAAAGCTATGTGAGATGTACATAATGATAATGATTTTATGTAAATTGGTTAATAAATATTTGAGAATGTTTATATAATCAATGCCCGTGTTTTATTTCGTTATTTTGTATGAACCCTTTTAACACTTTATTCTACATGACTGAAATTGAAAATCCTTTAAAAATACCAAATTTCACACAGGTTGGTCGAAAATATGACGATTTGTCCTAACTTCTCTATCCAAAGTTGATTCGTTTGGACACTAGAGGGCGGTAAGGTGTGCTAATTTTACTTTCAATATCTCTAAAACTCTAGACAAGTTTTATTCATGTACTGTAATTTAAAGGATTGTTAGTCAGTTTAAATTTTAATTTGGTGAAACGCACATTATTTTCTCTGATTTACCTCAAGTTTTACTGCGGGACAACCACTTAACAATGCAATTTATTTTCAAGATTTTATTGTGATTTATGAAAATTAAGGTAACATGTTACACAACACCAAGGCAAGTATCGAGATGAAAAAAACCCGCATTGCCCGGCTGTATTTATTTTTACACTTTGTCTAATAAAATGGCTATATTCTGGGTTCAAATGCAATTAAAATAAGTGTAGTAAAAGATAAATAAAACCAAATATAATTCAATTAACTTAATTTATTATAGGATTACAAGTGGGAATTTCAAAATGAGAGGATAATTATAAGTGTTCACAATTTCTACGTTCAAATTCTGAATAAATTTTGATATAAATTATTCAATCATGGGTGTAGACGTAGGTCTGCCGCTGATTCCGTTAAACAGTCGGTCCTTGATCATCTGTGCCATCAGACCATGGATGACTTCTATAGTTGTCTTGCAGGCATCTTTGGTCGCTTTACTCAGTTTGTCCTCGGAACGCTTCTCATGAGGATCAGCGCCCGCGACTAGGAAAACACCACGACCTATACACAATACATTTAATTTTAAAATCATTTTAAAAGTGAGGTTGGAAAAACCTAACTTTCTCATCATTGTCTTATAAGATTAGAACAGAATGGGGAAGTGAATTTACAGAGAAAAGTAAAGGATATCATTTTTCCATCCTTATCTCCAATAATTAAGTTATATATGTTATAAATAACAATAGTAATTTCTCTATTTCAGACAACAATTATCTTTAGAGCTCCAAAATCACATATATGTATAAAGTCAAAGTAATAACTCACTCAAACAAACTTCACTCTGTTCCAGTTTGTCGGACAAATCAAATATCTGTCCAGTTGTATAATCCGCATTTGTGATGAGACTGGAACTACTGAGTGTGTTCACCCAGTACTTGTTCCACAGCGAGTCCAGCAGCCTTCGGTCCAGAGACGATTTGAAGTATGATACTTCCAACGAATAGTACTGCTTGCAATGCACACCAAAATCTTCTATCTTATTCAGAGGTATGGTTTGGTACTCTGATGGCTCTTCATTAGCTGGTTTATAACCCTACAAGAAAAAAAAATGTTTAACAAAAAACAAAACCGTTGGGTTTTCAAAACACACTTCCGATGTTTGATAGACTTTTTAAGAACTCAAAAACTACGGGATAGTCTTTTATTTTGAAAAATGTGGGATTAAACAGAAGCTATTCCAAATAAAGAAAAAACAAAAATTAAGTAAATCAGAACAGATTAAAACAGTACTGGTCCAATTGAGAACCACCAAATGTGTGGAGGTACACTAATAACATGATAGAATCTCAAAGTCGATCTTCCATTACAAAGAACATATACAATCACTATCAAAACACATCACAAGAACCTATATAAAGAATATCCAACCTTAGGGTATGTTCTGAAAGCACCGAGGCACACTTTTCCAGCCGAGATAGTTCTCACTGGGTCAATAACGATCGCCACAAATGGCTCCTGGAAGTTTTGGTTGAGCATCTGAGTGGAGACATCAATACCAGACAACCAGCAACCGTAACCAGGGTGGCTATGGTACCAGCCAATGGCATTCTCATGACGACCAACCTGCAAAACATTGACTAGGATTAGGAGTTTTAGGAGTAAAATAGAGAGCTGATAAAGGTATAGAAACTGCTAGCTAGTGACTAAATTACAAGCAATATAATCTTACTATATCAATACTTAATATTATAAAGAAGAAAGATCCGTTTTTTTAATTTTGTATGTAATCTAATTCAGTGACATTAATGTTTGGCCTTTCCTCTCACCTGTTTTGCCGCCTCTATGTAAGCAGTCATGTATTCGTAGGCTTGTGCTTGGGCATTAACCCTGGTCTCTGTTCCCTCTACAGGCAATGCAAATGAGTCCATCACTAACATTGTGTTGGCATCAACTTTACCTGTAACATCAAATATTTTGTATAAGTACATTAATTTACCAAATAAATCGTACCATACAATATAAGATAAATCATACCAAGTAATAGACCCATCACTTCCAAAGTACCTCCCGAACGAGCATGCATAACCATTTTCAGTAGAGCTAGTGCCGATATTTTGATGTCTTTGAAGAAATGAGGGCTGAAACATTTATTTTGGAATTTAGTATTGAACACCGTTAAGATAGACCAAAATACCAAAATGTTGTGCTCAAAAATGTGAACCTTACTCTTTCTCCCATGGTTTTGCTGCAAGAATATCTTGCTGTTGTTTTTTATCATACCGATAGATTTCATCGACGCTAGATACTGTTTCTATGTTGTTTGCCATGATCCACGTTTTTTGCGCTGTAGTGCTTTGAGAATCGGCACTAGTTGAAGCCATCGTTTTAGTTAAATTATATTTCAGACAATATCTTCGTTAATTATTTAAATTCAAATTTTTTACAAAAAGCTGTATGAAGATTTCAGGATGTTATTTTATTTTATGTGACAGTCGCTGACAAAGAAGACAAACTGACATTGACAATTGACAATGCATATTTTTTTAAGGTCGAAAATGAACATTCTGCCAAACATTAAGTCTTTGGTCAATGTTTTGAAATAAAACTACAATAATTTCTCTAACAACTAATCGCTTTTGTTGTTCTTTACATGTTTTACTTACTTATTAGAATAAGATAATAATTATTCTTGTAATATCTAGAAAAATCTTATTTTTTATTGATAATGATCATCCTATCCCGCTTGTGCATTTATGTCTGTCTTTCTCTGAAATACGATAATGGTTACGCCTACTTGATATCGGTCTGCCAATGGCAAAACAACACATCGCAGTTTTCGAGAACAGTAAAAAGTCACAATTTTGTTTGCGGTCGAGTATGTATGACGAACAGTTTTGTTGGTGTGAAACAACTTATCAGAGAAAAGTGTTTTAGCAAATGCTTTGTACAGCAACAAAATAAACATTAGTATGCAATTTACAAGATAATAAATAAGTCATAGAGGCGTGAGTCTAAGGTGTTTGTGTAATTTGTAATTGAACAAAACAAGATGAGCGCCCCAATTATCATCACCGTTCCCAACAACTACCTAGCGATGGAGGACATGGATTCCCAGGTGATGGTGGACGTTGCTTCACCATCACCTTCACCATCGCGAAAGAGAAGACTGGACCATCTCACGTGGGAGGAGAAAATGCAGCGGAAGTAAGTGATCATTGATTGCCTGCGTGTCCTATTTTATTAACCCAAAAAAGCGATTATTTTACACTAATTGTATGCTATCTCAACTTTATAACAGTATTTCTATCTTTATGAATAAACAGAGTATAGTTATTTTTATTTTTAGAAACGAAGGAAAATGTTTTATCTCATATTCTAGAACAATTAAGTTTTCCGTAGATGACGCAGGCAGCCGGTCAGGCACTGTTTATCGTGACGTAATTTGGGTCGACGAAATTTCCGGAATATGTTACAATTATTTAAATAAAGTAATAGAACATTGTTAAAAGTAGAACCGGCAATTTTTTTTTAATACTGATGCAATAGCCGATGCAAACAATGGTAGCGATCGACAATAATTGTTTATATCGAATTTTTGTAGGAAACTAAAGAATCGCGTCGCAGCGCAGACTTCACGCGACAGGAAAAAAGCTAAAATGGATGAAATGGAAAGTCGTATTAAACATTTTATGGATGTAAATGAAAAACTTATTAGTGAAGTGGAGAGTTTGAAGGTAATTTTATATGTAATTTGTACATAAGACATTATACTCCTCCGATTTCAGAACATTTATAACTAATTTCAGTGATTTTATGATGAATTAAGTGTTTATCATTAAACAATAGAATATTTCTATCAGGCACTGAACGAGCGTCTGTTAAGTGAGAACACGAAGCTACGCAGTGAGGCGGCGGCTCGCACCGTCGCGGGAGCCCCGGGACCAGCAGCGTCTCAGCCTCAGCAGAAGGTGGGGCTCCCGTCGGCGGTGCGGGTGGCGCGCCTGCTGCTGGCGATGTGCCTCTTGCAGACATCCTCGCACAGTTCGAGTCCGAAGAGTACCTCGATACCCTTCAGCAGCTTGCAAACTCCCTCCTCCAAGAAATTGGTACAAACTCTGCAGGAGCGACTCAAGATGTAAGTGTTCATATAGTCTTTTAGCACTTTTACTAGAAACATGGAGTTTTAGGACTAAAAAATGTGATTTTTTAACATATATGGTGGTAAACTGACACAAGGTGTTATTTATATTTTTTAAATAAATGATAGTTCTATCATACATATGTAGAAACATCATTTTTGAGATGATCATTAAACCATTTTTTACAACTTTTAGTTTACTATTACACAATTAACTAAAAATAAGTCATGTGAAAATACATTATTCCTACAGCTGATGCAATCTTGTAGTATTTTGCATGTCTTGTTGCAAAATTATTGCATCATCAATTGATCTCTAGCATTTATACATTAAAATTAACTTCAAGACTATTAATAAATATTATTGTTATTTGATACTGGCTTTCGCCCGCGACTCCGCTCACGTAGAATTATAAGAAAAAAATATATAGTCTATGTGTCCAGACTATCCTCAACATTTATGTAAAATTTTAATGAGCTTTATTCAGCAGTTTAGGCTTCAAACTCTAACAAAAATCCATTTATCCATCTAAACTTTTGCATTTACAATATCAGTTAGATTAATAAGATTTTGAGGATTGATAAAAATTTTGAGCAACATTTTATTCTTCCATAGGTACCAATCGGGGAATCTGGAGAATGCATTACAGGACCTCAAGTGGTGGGGACCTCAGCAAAGCAATTGGAATCCAGTGAAGGTGGAAGCGTGAAAACGAGCTCGGAGTACAAGAGTCCTGTTGACAAACATGATATTGACAGGATAATGTCGCAACACTCATATGCACATCCCCATCCGGACATTATAGTCACCAGGCCCCAAGAAACAGTACAAATTAAAGAAGAAGACTGGGATAAGGGAGATATTTTCTACACAACTGTCGATGAAGCGAATGATTGCATCACTGTAGAAGTTCCCTGTGATGATACAATCAAAGATGAAATACCAATCAGCACAGATCTAGATTTATTGACACTAACCGATAATAGTTCAGATTTAACATTAGAATGTGACTTGAAGTTACTTTCCCCGATGACATTGTCACCTAATGCTGAAGAGAATTTGCTCGGAGTGTCTCCCTCGCACACCAGCCTTAGTTCTGATTTAGGTTATGAATCTTTAGCGTCTCCTCTCAGTGATCCCGGGTCGATGGACCTATCAGATTTCTGGTGTGAATCATTCTCAGAATTGTTTCCGGATTTAACATAAAATTGGTTTAATTCTGAGTTTAATTCTCACTTGAAGACTGATTAGTTGTTAAGTAAATGTTATTAAAATCAAATGAAATCTAATTGATGTAAGTTTATTATTGCTTAGCATTATTAAGTTTTAAGTTATTTTATATGAACTAGATGTTTTGTAGGGATGTACATTGAGTGTTGTAAATAAAGTTTTTTTTTCCGGCTCAATTATTTTTATTAAATTATTTCAATAAAAAAACATAATAGAGGTTTCTATAATAAATTAAGTAGTTTATCTGATATATGTCAAGAGCGAAATTAAAATGCATACTATCAGAAAAATCGGAGCATGACTATCTAAAGTATTCATAATTGATTGATTGATTCGTTGATCGTTTTATTTTTCTAATCCTAAAACCTACCAGAAATTTTTTCAATATAAAAAAAATCAATAGGAACTTTTTGAGGTTTAACAAGGTCAATCACCTCAGCTACAATATCTTTAAACCACGTTATCGTATGTGTAAATTTTGTTGCCTATACGCTAAATGTTACCGTTACGTTCTATGAACGATAATAGTCACGTAATGTGTCTTTGAACCTGTTAGTATATTGTTAATTACGTATTCACTACAGTACCAAAACATTCTTATCTCAGATGACAATAGACTGCAAAAGATGACTATTGTACAAATATATTTACAGTGGAAGCACACCGTAAATAACCTCTTGTTACGGAAATGATGCAGTACAATTTTATTCAGTATCAAAATTGATAAGAAACAGGAAACAAAATTTCATGACTTAATTATTCGCAGTAAATATAACGCTCGTACACAAAGATAACATGTAATAATTTAATTCGTATTTTATCATTATCAACATAATTACAAAGTGGTAGACAGCGATTACTGATTTCTAAACTCCTATCCTCGAAGTCCACAGATCCACGTATACACGAGAATTTGTATGCAACCATAAAACTCTATAAATAACTGAAATAAATTGGCCAAATTATCAAAAAATCCATGCCAATTATTTGTCTGCTTATGACTATATGGATTTATCTTATCGAATTTACTTTAGTAACCTAGAAATGGCTATCGTTCTCTTTTATTCAACACGAATCTTAACTATCTTAACTAATCATGTTGAGGTTTTAATTATTTTTTTTATCACAATAACAACTGTGTATATTCATTTTCATTTTGAATTCCATTGAATTAGTTATAATTTTACTCAATTATCAAAAGGCGAGGCTAAAGTCCGATTACTTAGATGGTTTCTAAGACTAATAAATAATTTTGATTGCCAGAATTTACAAATGTGTTGTATAATTATACATATATGGTAGGACTAGAAAAACTATTAAAAAACAATAGAATATAGAAGAACCGGTCTATTTAATTATTGTATCAGTCTTTAAAATGAGTAGGTGTCCTGGTGGAGAAATATAAAATCTGAATTTTATTCAGAACAATATAACAATACGTCCTCGTGTTGTGATTAAATTCAAATTTAATCAGGCCAAAATGAACATCCAGGTCTTGGATTGTAGTATAAATCGTAATATCTATTTGAACTAAATGTTTTGTAATTTTTCTTCATTGGCGGTGGTGTTTTTTCTTTAATAATCTCGACTTTTGTAACTACAGGTATAAAGTCACTTTCTGTGAACAAATCTGTTTTTAGAGGATAGATTCCACATCTTTTAAATGCTTCAATGGCGGCGACTGCAGCGGCTTCCTCCGATAGTGTTTTGTCAAACAAATCCGCTCCTTGTTTCGCCGTTAACTTACTCTTTGGGTTTAATTCCAACCAAGTTTCTACAACTTTTTCATACGCTTTTGATAAATCATTTATAAATATCTCATCTATTGGTTGTACTTTGTTTTCCGTACATGGTGGGAAAGAAACAATGTTAACTCCATTATCTCTGGTTATTTTTACTATTTCAATACTCTTGGTATACGAAGGTTTGCCGTCGAATAGCAGTAATACTTGCTGTTCTTTCTTTGCCCCGCTGAAGAATATAAATCTTCGAAACCATTGTGAGAATAATTCATTTGTTGGAGTCATATTGGGTGTGATGATTCTCGAAGCATCTCTAATTTTCGTTAAATCAGGACTATTCTTTTGGGGAGATATAATTGATGGCATATAATTACCTTCAGCGTTAAAACATACTTTTACTGTTATTATATTAGAAAGGAATACCGAATGTTCTTTATTTCTTGTTCTATTAATGATATAGGTATTATTTTCTCCGATACATATTTTAATGAAATCGGTATTGTAAATTCGGTTTGGAGTTATTTTTTTCACATCATAAGCTTCGCTAAGTGTTTTATAGAAATAATCTAATTCCGCCATATTAAAACAACCACATTTTGAATTTATGTCCGGTATTTGTAGATTGATTTTTGGATATCGTTTCATAAGATCTAAAACCCAGAGACGTTCAGCCATAATAGCATTAGTTCTAATTGGAAGTTTTTTATTGTATTTTTCTGCTAATTGTTTTGCTATAACTATAACATCGTTTATAGTTAACCTAAATACAATTTTTTGTAATTCTATAATGTAGTCTGTCAGTTCATTTTCCTCTTCTGGTGTAAATAAGATATTCTTCGGACGTAGAGGGGTCACTTGTACGGTGGGTTTTGGTCTAGAAGGACGTATTTTCATTTTTGATTCCATTTTACAGAATCGTGAGATTTTTTTTATGGTACTGGCTAGCAATGTTCAATTTTATGTTTTGAAATGTTTAACATTCTGAAAAATAATAGCAAGAAGTTGTTTAAAAGTATTATTCCAGTTAATGTTTGTAAGAACTTTGATAAATATTTTTTCGAAAGAAAAGTTTCCCCAGAACTGACTTGATTATTTTATAAATAAAAATATTTACTTCGAGCGTAGTTGTTAATATGCTGGGCGGTGCTGTATTTACGAAAAGGAAAATAGATTTGTGACTTGACTACGATTTTTATACCAATAATAGACCATCAAACTAGCTCATGCAATATAAATAGAGATCATCACGTTAGGTTAAATTATATTGTGTAATTCAAAATTATAAATTCGTTAACATCAATCACCTGATTATTTTTCCAACGGACTTGGTTGTATTTTCATTAGGACTTGATTCCCTTGTCACGTTTTCCATGAAGTTAATATTATTCACTACTTATTTAACAATAATTTTGCGTAGTAAATACCGAATACGGTCTCACTATACGATAACACTGACTCAACTGACTAAACCCCGATGGGATGACGTCATTCCCGATTTTTATGTTAACCTAAATTTTTCACACGTACCAATACAGTTTTAATTCCTGTTGGACCATACGTGAAACAATCCTAATAATTAAACGTTTGCGCTTTAAACAACTTCATTAACGTCAGATTCTATATAAATAAATATATAACTCAAATCTGTAAGACCCAATAATACAAGGTTACTTTTGGTACGAAAAACTTTGATTTCCTTTAATTTTGAGTTCTGATTTATAAGAAAATTGCGTGCCAGAGGCCTTCCAGAGTACTTACCCAGACTTCTCTTACTCTTACAAGGGTAGGATGGGAAGGGAAATTGAGTTTTGACGGTGGCTAGGCATAGGAAGAGAAAATATCCCCTTTATGTGCGTTTCCTCCGTGGATTTAAGATGGGCAACGCATCTATGAGAAACAGTTCCTTTGTTTTATTTTTTCGGAGCATAGGTGGCTGTTCGCTTGCAGCCGGCCGTTTGCGACTCATTTATGGTAATGAAAAAGTCGACTACTGTTTTAACCGGGGTTTTACCTTATCCATAGGTAAATACAATGATTAACTTTTAAGTATCGCCCTAACGTTGTCACACACTTGTAAACATAGATAATATGAAAATATGCCTCTTGGTAATTCCATTCAAACATAAAATTGGTTTTAACCAACACAATCAAAAGAACGTATATCCATCTCTTTCTTTCTCACTGGTAGGAAATGAAACAAAACATGTGTTTTGTATTATTACGTAGATGGAACCATACTAACAGTACACACAAGAAAAATATAAATTTCAATGCTAAATTGTTAGTTTAATCTTTCGTCTTGAAGGTTATAATACTAAATGACCAGGCGACGCATTTTGTTTAAGATTTATGAATGAAGATTTATTTGAAAATCTCTTCGACATATTTAATTTGACATCGGAATGTCAATAGTTTAGGGGTTGCAAAATTAGATAATCCTACCATAGACTAAGAGTTCATTTTTGTTCATTTAAATTTAAGCATTGATTAATGGATTATAGTCGAGATTAATAAATCAAAACACGTTTAAAAAAACATTAAATATATTTGTTAAAATATTACAGATTCAATAAAATCAATATATCTTAAATTACGATTGACGTCATTTAAAACCGCACTCGCGCGTATGGAGGCAAACATAAAAAACGTTTATGCACCATTTTGCAATTAAAAGCTGTTTAGTAATTTTACGGACACAGTAATAATAAGGGAATATGAGTTTAAATTATATTTCTTCAACGCTTTGTTTTGTATTTAAACCTAATCATTTTATTCAGTATACATTTTTGAACAATATTCAAACAAATGTTGAACTTGACTTCTTGTATCTTTTCGGTTCGTAATTACCGCTTTCAATATGCCTTATTTTTAAAGACGATTTTTCAAATTTCGAATATCATAATTTTTGGCTGTTGGTGTTGCAATGATTAATAAAAGAAAATCTTTAATAAAACCAACTAAGTTTAAAACATATCGGTTTTACAAGATTTTAATATTAAAATTTTTCATTTATAAGATAATACGAGATAAAAGAGAACTTTCCAGTATTCGTAATATATAAATTTTTAACGAGATTGAATGAGTTTTTGCCATGTTAATATTTTTGCTTTTTATCGCAAACGGTGCATTAACAAAGCGTTACAAAGCGGTTTGGCACTCGCACTAACGAACTAAAGCGATAACGATAATTGCTGTAAATACAACTCGCAAATAGAACCTGCAGCACAATTACACTAATGGAAGATATATAACTTATAATACGTTGAATAAAGCATACGTCAATTCACTTTAATCTTATATTTAATAATTATCGACACAACATATATTTTGTTAAACAATTAAACAGTACTACCACAAAAATAACAATTAAAAAATGCAATATCAAAATTCCATAAAAAAATATTGTCTATGTCTCATATCTATAAAATAAAAGAAAAAATAACAAACACGCGAAGGAGATACATATTTATGGGTAATTCAAATTTGGAATTGTCATTTTTTTTAAATAAAAGAAATGTGTGCTGAGTGTTCAAGGTTTAAATAACTCAAAGATAATAAAAAATGTGTACTGAGTTGTCAAGTTTAAAATTATTTAAAGATAATTTAGCATGTATGGTAATTTTTCTGTATTGGTATATTTGTGGCAGTACTGAGTCAACAATCTCATAGAGTTATTTATAATCTATATCAAATAAATGTCTGTGACATTTTCGTTCGTGTAGCACAACTTTTTTTTCGAAAATTTGTAGAAGAATTTTACTACAAAACACTTTTTTTTTCATCACATGCACCTTTTAGTCACCGTTCACTAGAATAAGTATTGTAAATGTTTTTTTACAAATCTATGAAGTATTAGATTTTATTATATTATAATAAATACGTGATATAATATTTTCTAAAAGGGGCTGAAAAACTTTGAGCGGCTGTTTTGTGTAAACTTTTTAAAAATTATTTTTTTTTTTAATTTAGACGTAGGTAATGAAATCAGTTCGTACGGATTTTTTAACGTTTCAAAGAAGTTAATTTTATATGAAATTGAATTTTATACAAATATACATTAAAGTCAGAGCCAATTACAATATTTCAAAATTACAACAAATTACAATTTTTAATAATAATTACAATAATTTCCATAATCTGTTTTATATTCACATACACAATCGGTGTATAATCTGTGATTCATTTAATGTCAATTTGACATTGACAGCGTCCATAGACATCTAAAATCTTAACCAAAGAGCTTGTCGAAGCAAGCATGGCAGTATGGCTTATCATTCTGTTCTTTGAAGGTGCCTTTATTTAACTGTCGTAGACAGAAAGCGCACACAAAGTGTTCGGGGTGGAACTTCCTGAACATGGCGGTGATGCAGCGGCCCGCGATGGGCTTGTGGCAGCCGGCGCACAGCGAGCCGCGCTTCCCGTGGTAATGCGTCTCGCAGTACGGCTGCCCTTCGTGCTCGAAGAACGAACCTCCGTGGAATGGTTCGCGGCATTCCTGGAAATTATATAAATGTCATTACATAATCATGACCATATCTAGTCTTTGGTAAACATAGAGTTGAAGTCGGCTTCTTTAATAAATCGAATACTGGAACGAATTTTAAAAACTTCGAAAGCCTCGCTTACAAGCAGCATAGAGATGTCGACATTTTAATTCGATTTGGAGTTTAATCGTGGCCTTATAATATAGGACGCTTATTATATGTTTAAGTGTCGTCACAGCATACCGTATATAGCAGAAAAAGCAGAAACCTTGACAGAAAGTAATATCTTTCCTTTAACGTTTAATTCAACAGTCTTTTGAAGCAAGAATATATTGTTACCAACACACTTAAATCAAAATCTCACGTATATTCTGTAAACTAGTTGAGTTTTATTTTAATTATTTGTTTATCACACTGGACACTATCGAATTAAGGGATAATAATTATGTAAAAATCGTAACAGATTGATAAAAAAAACGTACAGACGAATTGAGTACCTCCTTCTTTTGGGAAGTCGGTCAAAAATAAACTTGGCTATATAACTAAAACATTATAAGCAAAACGGTTAAGTATTCATACCATTTATAAACGTTATTTATGCATATAACATATATAACGTCTGTAAGTATAAAATTGATAAAATTTGATTAATTTCTTGGATGTGTGTACTCTACTTTTGGCATTGGTCCATTTTTATCGTATTGTTTATTTAAACTTTCAGTCAAATGGATTTCTTAATTTAATAAGCAAAACGGTTTTGCTTTATTTAAAGGAAAGTAACCGGTAAGTGGCATGGTGGTTATAAAATCTAAAATTTGTTTTATTTCTTTTTTTGGATAAGTCTAACCTAACCTTTCACTAAATTATAAATATGTTGCTTTTTAAATCTACACAATATTACAATGTGGAATTAAAATAGGCAATGAATGTAATTTTACAGGTAATTAGATTTTGTGGCCAAATACATTTTTTGTAATGAGCTTTCGAGTTCCGTTTATTGTTTATGGCCATTTTAAACTAAAATGAAAAAAAAAAAAACGGGAATTGATAGTAGGTATCCTAACTATCAAAACGTATAATGTTATTGTTGAAATACATTTTTCACTCAAACTTGAGTTTTGTTCTGTTTTTGCTATTCTTGGCCTAGCAACTCATTATTAGAGTGCAATGCGATAAAAATACCGTTTGATCCGATGGCCCATAAACATGGCGGCCTGATTCAAGTCGTCAGCGCGGCTGCGGACATCGCCGCGTCACTAGCGACGCCTTTAAATAGAACTATTGAAACTCTACACGACACTTGACCCTATTTGCGTTTTTTTTTTAATTTTCCGCCATCTTAGACATTACACAAGGTCAATGCCACGGACGGCCGCGGCCTTCACGTCACGAACGGTCACCATTGCGGTCAACACGTCGCGCGCGTAATTTCCCGCGCTTTAAATGTCATCTGTCATTTTCAATTATATTTTTTTATTTTATTGTTTTTTTTTATTTTTTTTCATCTTTATTATAAATCTTAACATTACAAATAAGTTAATAAAATATATTACATAATTTATTATTCCCTATTAAGTACACTAGACTAGATTTATGTTACTTTTTGTAATTGAATTATTTCTGTGTTTGTGTGAGTATCATACGTCGTTGCGCCGATACGGCGAGCATAGCTGAAAGAGAAATTGGGGAGGGCATTCATTTTAGGGGGTTTTCTAGCATTCTTTACTCTTCCTCGTCGACTCCAACACATTTTGGGCATACCGGCTTCCCTTCCATTGCGTAAAATGATTTCCCTTTGACTGCATTTTGACATTCCTGTGAGACGGAAACCTTATTTTACATCGGATTTACATTCAGATTGTTGTTATAAAAGGTTGACACCGTATACTTGACCTGGCGTAGCGCTGCTGAAAATTTTAATACTACACCTGTCATAAAAGTTGCTGCTGCGACCATTGTGATGGTAATAAAGACTGATACTGACCTTGCAGACGAAGCAATCCGGGTGCCATTGTGTGTTCAGCGCGGAGATGTAATTCTCCATAATGGGCTTGCTGCAGCCGCCGCATTTGGGTGCAAACATATCGAAATAATCGGCGCGGCAGTATGGCTTGCCATCGCGCTCATGGAACCCTTCTTCTCCGAACTGCTGGCCGCACTGCGCGCAGAAGAAGTGCTCAGTGTGCCACGTCTTCTCCAGAGCGGTCACGCATTTCTGTGAACATAAGAAAAAAAATTTGCATCGAAAAATTTGAAAATAGAACTTGATTTCTTTTGCGAATGCAACTAACATCGAGAATGGGGCCGTTGCAATAGGCACATCTCGGCGAGAAGAGGTTATGATAGTCAGGTTCGCAGTACGGCCTGCCGTCGCGCTCGAAGAAGTTCCTGGTGCCGAGCTCCTGGTTGCAGTGAGCGCAGGTGAAGTGCTCAGGGTGCCAGGTGCGGCCCAGCGCGGTGATCACCTGCATACAAATAACGATTATAATCACTGTAGACCGCACTTATTATGTCCAGTTTCACTGTTCACGTAATTATGTGGACCTGTCCGACGATGGGCTTCTCGCAGGCGTTGCAGCATCCCTTCTGGGGGGTTTGTACTCCTTGGCGGCTCATGTCTGCTCGAAGAGAGCCGAGCATGTGCTCCAGTGAGGCGGACTCCGGCTGGCGCGGGTTGGTGCGGTACTGCTCCTGCCACGCGCGCTTCTCCCGGTATACGTGTGCGCCGCTTTCTGTCGGTGAACCGCTAACCTACAGGAACGGTACGATTTATTTACTTCTACTTTTTTTCGCAGTTCAATGTTATCAATGTAATTGCTGCAGGGGACGTACAAGACACCGGCCTGTGGAAGCGGAGTGAAGCGAATGCGGTCCGAGTGAAATGTTTGCCTATGTACTCTAATATTATATGCTGGCGGCCCCACTACGCCTGTGATGTAACCGTGCGTCCTATCTTTAGCCGCGAGCGCGGGCGCGAGGGAGACGGCGGCGCTGGAGTAACCGTTCCCGCGGCTGGAAATAGCGATCGACCAAGAAAGGCGACTTGTAAATATTATAATAAACGGAAAATCGGATGTTCGATGGTGCAGTGTGCCGAGCCCGCTTCGAAGGATGGCGAACGATTTTAAACTTTAAAACTAGGGAAGTAGTATGAGGTTTCTTTCCAAGGGCGTGTTCGTGACCTTGTCCATTGTCCTAATTAGAAATCGAGCCCTTCACGCTTAATTAAGAATGGCTGGGAGTGTCGAGGTTTGTAAGGGGAGTCGAGTTTATCGTTATTTCTGCACCGCGATCGTATCGCTCGCTGCGTTGATGACTCACTTGAATGTTTACACTGGAGTCGGTTTATTTAAATGAAAATAGAGAACCGCGGAGTAAATACAAATGTGATTTATGAATGCAATTTGGGTTAAGAAACGTCGGGCGTACATAACTGCCGCATAAAATAGATAAAGTCCTGTCTATCAGGTCGGGTGTCATCTTGGCAGCCAGCTGCGGCCTTGGATATTGAAATCTGTCGTCTTGTTACAAAATGTTTTATATAAATCAATTCGAATTTTACTGTATAAACAGTGGAAATATAATCAGAATCGCGAGTCGTGATCACCTTTAGATATTTTATGATAAAAATCAGTTCCGTCATCACGTGAATATATAACAAAGTTAACATTTATGTGCATTTTCCACATATAAATACTTCTTTGTATCTGTCAAAGATAGCATAAGACGAGTCAAACCTTTAAATACAACACTTACTTTAAAATCGGACAGCGATGCCATCAGATCGTCTAGCTCCTTAGTGGCACTGGATGCGTGGTGATGGTGGCGCGGCGCGAGCGTAGTCGGAGGCTGGTGTTGAGCTTGCGCGGGCTCCACCACCGTCTCCTGCACGGTCACCGTCACCTGCTTGGTGCCCGGCCGCGGCAGCGTGCCTGCGGCTGACCCTACTGGCGACGGCGGGACTGGTGATACTGATGCACGGCTGTAAGACGTTGAACAATTAACTCACATACTCAGTTACAAGAACAGCCGTTTAGCGTAAAAACATACATTAATCTCAAGACTAATTTTGTAGCAAATTTTATGGAGAAAGTAGTAGTAATCAATTATGCACTGAAACAAGCTAATCCTATGCTAAAATAAACAATTGTTAGAGCTCATTAGACTAGATAAGATTTGCTTTATTTCAAACAGGTGCATGTTATGACGCTGATTGTTTGTGACAATATTATACAAATATTGTAGGAGAGGAAATCCAGGAATGGACATTTAAGCCACAAAGCAGACGTCTGAAGACATCATACAAAGGAAGGTATTGATGTGAGCGAATGTCAAGTAGTGGACTGACAGGGTTGATGATATATGATGAGGCTGGTGGTAATGTTTCAGTAATCTTCTTAAAAATACTTTGATGTAATCCATCTACAAGTTTTAAGAAACATTTAATTTGAAACGTGTAATAACATAACGATGGATTCCATACATTAAAACTTCAATAGAATCCTCCTCATTATTTTTAACAGTTACGTCGATATTTTTAGACACTTATGTAATAACTCTACCGATATGTGTAAAAACTGGCTGAGGAACTTGTTAATACGAAAAGAGACAGAGAAAGAAAAAACATTGGAAGTACATAAATAACATTTTTCTGTTTCGTTTCTTTGAGAGTTCATTTTTCATTAGTGGGATGCGGAAGAATTTAAGGGCCTACGCCAAGGTTTCCTGGTCATTACCCGACGAATGACACGGAACCGAAGCCCGCGAAAACGAACGCGACACGTCAAATCGCTAGCTGTCAAACAATAAAAATTGGCGCCAAGACAAACAATGCGTCCGCGTCTGCCGCGCGACAAGCCATCCAAAACAAAAGGCATACGTCACAAGTGTAGTGATGTGTGCAAAATATTTATATCACTCACTCACAAGCTTTGACAGATTTTTATTTACAAAGACTATTATAATTTATTAATATTCAATTGCTTTATTTATTTATGCGCGCAGGAGTATTAAAAAAATTAAGATCTAAACTGCTTATGATTAAAAAATAACACCTACATTGTACAATATGAAAGAACAAGTTACCACTTGTAGACAATATTTACACTGTCTACTTATTTGAACCAACTTGTTTTGTTATACAAAAAATCACAAATGGCGGCTCTAATGAGAATACACTAGTCGTTGTCGCCTTACCATATTTTGTTATTACAAAATAAATCTCAATGTATCATTAAAATAATAACTAGCACGGATATAAATGTGTTAACAGGTGCCATCAGAATAAATGCCAATTACGACGCGGAAGTGCGGCCGCCAACTGCGATCGATGCATCGAGTACCTAACATAGATGTTTATTTTTTATTTAAGATGATTATAAAGAACACATGGCCTCTATAGATAAAGTAGTCATGGGTTTCCACAACAGAACCGCATACACAGAATATTCGTTATCTCTATGGTCAATGAAACCCAAGGGATATTCGTCAGTTCATATTTATGTCCTCACTAACAGACTCGCACACTATCGTAAGTAAGGTGATTAGGTCATTTCCTTATAGGGGATTATGTGCAGTTTGTTTTGAAGAACCAAGTAACAATCTAATTTCATACAATTTTATAGCCTTGGTTTTAATAAAAACAACCATAGTCGTAATAATTTAACAACGTACACGTACGCCTCCAAGGAAATCATAAATCAATATATTTTAATGTAGGCAGTAAACCGAGCCCTTGAAATTATTAAATAAAATATTCTTTTTATTCCTAATCTTACTAATATTACGAATATAAAATGGAGTTTAGATGGATGGATGGATGTTTGTTAGAGAGAGAAATCGATGAAATTTGGTATAGATGTAGTGGACAGTCTGGAAGAACACATAGGCTTACTTGTTTTAATTCCACGCAAACAGAGTCGCGGGCGGAAGCTAGTAAAAGATAAAATTCTATATTTTTGTCCTAATTCGTTCTAAGATGTAGATTTTAACTGGCATATAATATTAATAAAATCATAATTACAAACTGCGTTACAAGCCGCTGTTAATCTTAATAAAGCTTTTTGTAAACTCGATGAATAAAATTTATCGATCAGTGTATACTATAAATAATATAGGCAACACGATCATTAACAGAGGCGGGTAGGCCGTGACGTATCACCGATCTATTTTCTACCCACAGATATATCCGTCGATTTTCACACGGCACGTCGACGACGCGGGTGCTAACGCTCCTGTACATGTTTATGCCACAAAATGTCTGATTGAATTTAATATTTTTTTATCTATGCAAAGTTTTAACTGAACACTCGAATTGTTCAGTTTGTGCTCTAAATTGTACACCTTGTTGCATGTTATATTATCTTGAACTAGCTGTTCCAGTGCGACTTCATCCGTATAAAACGATGAAAATTTTATTTATTGTTTACATGTGACAAACCATGGCAACCTTGCTTCCTTAATGAAGACGGCTTGTAGTTTCTGGTCCCTTTCCCACATGAAGATTTTTTCCAATTTATTTATCCCCCAAGTTCAAAAGCGTAAAAATATATAAATCCAAAATTTGTCGTAAGTGTAGAGCTTTTTTATTGAAGGAAGAATTATTCAAAAAATCGGTCCACTAGCGGCGGAGTTATACCGTAACACACATAAAAAAAACATATCGACGAATTGAGTACCTCCTTCTTTTAGGAAGTCGGTCAAAATATGCTGTGATTGTAGACATCCTGCGCCACGGAGTACTGTGTGTTTACGCTTCATTATATTAGTATAGATACCCTAGTTACCTACCTTGAAACCTTATTTAGGTTACGCATACATTTTAGGTGAATTACCGATTAAGGGTTTTGTAATCAACATTTTCGTCATAGAAGTGAACTTGTTTTAATTCTGTTTCAAAGGACTTATTAACTTAAGATAACGTAAAGATATGAAAATGAGAATGTATGAGGTAGACATAGAAAGAGATCAAGAAGGTAGTGATGACTGAGATGACAGTTATGTGGTGGACATAATCTTGTAGCGTCGACCCTATAAGAGTAAGATAAGGAGGAAGTTATTGATGCGACTTTACAAGTATCACAAAATGAAGTTAATAGTAATACATACCCATTAGGTACGTCTGTGCTGAGCTGATCCAGGAGGGAGTCGACCGTGGGCCGGGATGACGCCGGGCTGGTCGCGCCATTTGCTCTTGAATATCCTTCTGCAGCAAAATATTATGGTAAAATTAATAAAATCAAACATTACATTAGCTGTGTCTAGATAAAATTATATAATTACGTAAGAATATTCTAATATCAGTGACAAATGCTGTATTTTGACTTTACCAGCTATAATTTATAACAAAACTAGCTTTCGCCCGCGACTCAGTACGGGTGAAATTTAAAAAAAACTAGTGTAAGTATCCCGTGTTCTTCTAAATCATGTTTTACATTTATGTCAAACTAGCTTTCGGCCGCGACTCCGTCCGCGGAATTTAAAAAAAAAAAACAAAACTAAGTAGCCCATATGTTCTTCTAGACTATCCTCTACATCCATGCAAAATTTCATCGAAATCTGTTCAGCCGTTTAGGCTACAAACTAACAAACGTCCATCCATCCATCCATCTATCTAAACTTTCGCATTTTTAATATTAGTAAGATTTCATCGAGATCCGTTCAACTTTTAGCCTACAAACTCTAACAAACATCCTTCTAAACTTTCACATTTATAATATTAGTGAGATAGTAAGATTATTTCGTATTGAAGTTGAAAACATTTGCTCCAACGTTCAACGTTTACAAAGATGTATAGAAACTTTAGTTGTTATAACTCGTTGTATATTTTGGCAATGAACACAGAATGTCCGGCACCACCTGTCTCCGTTCTTCCTCACGAAAACTAACGATTTGTATTGTCTTGACACAATAATTAATGTGTAAACATGAACGTTTTAAGAGTTGACGCCATTCTCTTTAATATCTATTAATTGAATCTTGACAAAATCATGCATACTACAAGTTTGAAGGACGAAATGGAATTAATATTTACTGATTAAATAAAATTTATTTATTGTTTTTAGACAGATAAAGTGTTCAAGGTTAGATGTTATTTATCTTACTAATATTATGAACATGAAAGTTCGGACAGGAAGATATTTGTCAGAGTTTGTAGCCTAAATTGTTGAACAGATCGCCATGAAATTCCGAGGAAAGCATAAGCTACTTACAAAGTTTTTTATTTTAATTGCGCGCGGAGAGAATCGCGGGCGAAAGCTTGTTTAAACATAATAGTATATATCAGTCTATCCTATGTTTATCAGAGACTATCTTTCGCCCGCGACTCCGTTCGCGAGGAATTAATAAAAACCAAATGAAAGTAGCCTATGCGTTCTTCCAGACTATCCTCTACATCTTTGCCAAATTTCACCAAAATCCATTCAGCCGTTTAGGCTACAAACTCTAAGAAACATCCATCCATCCATCCATCCATCTAAACTTTCGCATTTACAATATTAGTATGAAGTATGATGGAGAGGGACAGCGAGACAGTGACAAGATTTTTATGTTCCTGTGGTTTCATGTTTTGAAATAAACCGCAGTATCGTTTGAAGTACAAAATAAAGTAGACCATATTGTTTATGATTATTGTGTCTGCAATACAATATAACAAGTGTTGGCTTCAGATGTTGGCCGACGCGATCGATCATCGCTGGAAATGATTGTGCCTTGTGCAACATGTCTCGTACATCATCCACGCTTTATTTAGACGGCAAATGTTGCCAAGTTTACAATAAACAAACGACAGTCGTTACGGGTTACCCTTCATTCAAATCATTGCCACAATACGTTTAATTAGGACTAAACATGAAGCAAACAACTAAAATGAAATCTAATAATAATTTCCAGTCTATATCTATACTAACATTTTACAGAGGAAAGATTTGTATTTTTGTATTTTCGTATGTATTGAAATAACTCAAAAACTACTGGGAGTTAAAAAACTCTTTCACCGTTAGAAAGGTAATTAATCTGTGAGGTAACATAGGCTATATTTTTTAATTTCCCGCGTGCGAATTATAAATAAAAAATAAACAATTGTAACCAGGATCAAAAAATAGTCGCAACTATTGACGTAGGCAACATGGACGAAGCGAAAATATATTTTAACTACAAACATTTCAATGCCAGAAAGTCGTTAAGAAATTTAAATGTGGTAGATGTTGCCAATTAAAATAAATCAAATTATTACATTAGTTACGCCAACAATTTTTCCAAACAATAATTCAAAAGATGAATTTATAAGCTATACGATCTACGCATACTATTGAACAAGACATTGATGTTTTCATATGGAATATAACTCGAGACGGAACTTATTCAGAAGAAAAATCCTAAAACTGAGTATGATTGAATAATAGTGGAATTAAATCTACATATTGTAACAAATATCTTTTATACGTCTCAATTTCATTGCCGTAGCAAAAAACTTTACGATAATAGTACATTTCAAGTGGCACATAAAAATTTTCTTCAAAGTGGACGCAAGGATGGGTACAGCATTAAATCGGAAGCTAAACAATTCGTACTGACTGAAATCCGGCGTAGATCTATTTCTGTTGGAAGGGAAATATACTGTGCCAAAGTCAACATTTCGCAATTGCTCTCGTCTTTATTAAATCTTTGTTGTAAATAGACTATAGTACGGCCTGTACTATACTTTAGAAATCGTACTATAATAGTTAAAAGTCATTGGCCGATATTGCATTTGTTTTGACTATTTTGGCAGAATTACCGCCGTCTGATTGGCTGAAGTTCACACGCTAATTGAAATTAGACGTCATTTGTTATACATTATTCTAGCGAATGTTACAGTAGGTCTACACTGAAGTAACACCCGTATATACTTATACTGTCTAGTCTAGCCAGACGGATTGATCATCGGTTGAATTACACTTAATCGCATTCGATACGATATCTAACATTATTAGATAGATTGTTGAAATAAAACAGATCCAGTTACGGGTCCATTGACCTTTAGTTAATTCATTCAAAGTTTTCCGTTAAAATTATCGATATTCTTTTAAAGAATCTTTTGACATTTTACATACAGGGTTGGCTTTGGCTATTTTTGACTTCTCGCTGGACACTATATACTATTTATAATATAAAATATTGTAAATTTATAATAATCTTACTAATATTGTAAATTTGCATAGATAAATGGATATCTGTTAGAGTTTGTAGCTAAAACTGCTGAACTGATCTCGATATTTGGCATAGACCTAGAAGGTAGTCTGGAAGAACACATAGGCTACTTGCTTTTGGTATTTTTTATTCCACGCGCATAGAATCGAGCGCAAAACCTACAAAGTAAATAAATAAATCACTCACCATTTCTCTCATTATAAGTGGTCTTCTCTACATAATTTCCGTAACGCGCATTACTCAGATCATCCAGCAAGGTGTCCAGTTCGGAGAGATTTCCCCTGGCATTAGTCCTACCGTAACCTGCCGTATACCCTGGCGAGTGGCCGCCATAGCTCTGATTTGTACTGTACTTTGGCAATGACTTCTCGTGGATAGTCGACGTGTTCTGGTATGTGGGCTGTAACAAAGGTATAGATTTTTAGTATAGAGTTGGTCGATTTTAGCTTTGATTGAAATCTTTGATTTCGATATAGTTTTATATAAATCGGAAAAGGTGTGTAATGATAATTTCCTTCAAATTTGTAAACATGATTATGAGTACAATCTATAGTTATGTTATAAAGAGGAATAATTTGTTTTGGATTTTTGTATACATTGAAATAACTTAAAAACTATTGGTCCGATTTTATAAATTTTTATACATTAGAGCTTCGATAAGTTAAAGTCCAAGGGAAACACAAAATATATTAAGTTATAGAGGTCTTAAGTTATCAAAGGTCTATGTCATAGAGGTGTTGGGCTCTGATGGGAAGGGAACATCATTATTTTTTGTAGTTATAGAGGGTTTTATGTTACCGAGGTTAACTATATTATCACTGAATAACATAGGCTACACATTTTTTTAACTTCACGCGGTCGAATTCGTAAACAACTAGTAATCAATAAAACTTATAATAGTGAAAAATGAAATTTCATATGAATTCTTTAATATTACTCACAACAAAACACTAGCATAGTCAAGAGGCCGTGGGAAAAGCTGCAGTTGCAGGTTTCACAGGTGACATAATTCTCACGTTAATCGATACAAACGACCTTATAAACAAATGTGTATATTTGTATACGAGTTTTTTTTACTAGACATACAAAATCTCTATTTGAAGTTCTGAATATAGTATTTTTACTTAAGTCGTTGGGAGCAATTCAGATCCTGAACAGATACTAAAATACTGGTACTAAGTTCTCTGAAATTTGGGACAAGTAATAATATTGCAAGCCATCTGGGTTTTTATTTGGAGAGTTTAAACTAAACATATGGTTTATGCGTTGACGTTGATAGTGTAAAATAACAATATATCGAAATGATTGATGGATTTTAATTTGTGTGAAAGCAATAATTAAACAAGGAAAACGTTGTTAAAAGTCTAAAGTAAGTCATATAAACTTTGTTAATAGTCTAAAGTAAGTCATATAAACTAAGTTAAAAGTATGACCTAAGTATCTCATTTTCATAGCAAAGAGAATCATTAATACATTAAAATAATATTTCTGATAATTTAAAAAAATAAATTATTATCTTTCTCTTTTTCACAAAAGATAAAGATTTGTGAATAGCGACATCTATTGCGTAATGGATGAAGTAATAAAAGTTGGATGTTGTCCAATTCGTAATATATGTGGCCGTAGGATTGAGTAATACCGCATAACACTAGATGGCGTGGGTTTCAAAAAAACACAATATTATTCTGATATGTGGCTACACTCTTGTTCAACCTAAGGAACCATAACAAACCTGATTTTAATCCTTATTGGCAATTACAAAAACTCCATACATGTTTACGACTGCTATCAATTTCTTAGTAATAATGTTCCCGTAAGAAGGTTATCATCGGTTACAATTTAAGCATTAAGACACGATTCTTAGAATTGAAAACAAAGTTTAAATTCATCTCGTCATCGACGCATTACTTTGGAGATGAGATCATACTATGCCGATATTTGAATCTACTGGCCAATTTACGAGAAACGCGAAAATATAAAACAATTTTTTTCTATATAAAAATTTTAACTACTTATTAATTATATGCCTATGCTTTATAAAGTATGACGTTTAATATGTGAGTTATATTCTTTTAGGATTAAGTTTAAATATTACTTATCTAATTTCTTACTAATCTTACTAATATTATAAAGATGGATGGATGGATGGATGTTGGTTAGAGTTTGTTGCCTAGACGTGGATAGATGTGGAGGATTGTCTGGAAGAACACAGGCTACTTATTTCGTTTTTTTATTTAATTTTTCTATTCCTCGAGGACGGATTCGCGGGCGAAAACTATTTATAAATAAACATAACAGTACTATAACAATATATTTTAGCTAATAATCAATACAGATTTAAAACACGTAAAATATTTACGCTTTCAAATAACATCTGTTTTCCTTGAATTTATTTCCATTCCAAGGCGATCTATTGAGAAGGAAAGTTTATGCTCCAAGCATACCAGGTCCATCGGTGGTTTTCTGACTTACATATGGTAAAAGTGAGTCATTATTCACTGATTCATAAAAAGGAAAAGATAGTAACAGTTGGTATCTTACTTCGCGACTTTGTCAGTGTTAAATAAAAAAAATGAAAAATATTAAAAGCCTATGTTACTCATAGATAAATTACCTTTCTAATGGTGAAATAATTTTTAAAATCGGCCCGGTAGTTTCTGAGTTATTTCAATACATACAAAAATATTTTTTTTTCTCTTTATATCACTACTAGTTTTCGCCCGTGACTCCGTCCGCGTGGAATTAAAAAAAAAACAAAAGTGAGTAGCCTATGTGTTCTTCTTCTTGTATAAAATAGAGAAGAAACTAAAAAAGTCTCTTGTTGTTGTTAAAAGAGAATAAAATAGATGAGTCTGTGTACTTATAAGTATTTCGACAATGAAAACGCATATATTATACACACATTCTTATTAGGATTCAACGCAAGAAAATGTGGATCCAGTCGCCACTAAATCACGTGTCAAAGACAAAAGGACCATCGACAATGACCGGCATGCGCGTGCGCAGCTGATGACGTAACGTTTATTGGTAGAGCTTTCAAAGCACTTTAAATAAATCGTTCACACTTTTATATCTAACACTGTAGTAAGAAAGAGATAGCTATTACATTATGGAACATAGTCATCAGGCAATAAATTATCGTAAGAATGTGACCACTGTAGCAGCATTTTCAATAAACACGAGGCAATTGTACACAAGCTAGGTATCGAAAAAATAATCTTAACCATTGTAAGTACATTTGTACTGTACACCTAATGTAATTGTATTAAAATAAATAGAAGTTTCTAGAATCGTATCTAAATCTAAAATCTCATTCGCCTGGTTTTGGGAATAACTATTTTTGCTGTTTACTTGATTTTTCTTTTAAGATTGTGTTATAATTTTCTCGCAATTTGTTTAAATTAGTGTTAAAAAAAGTTTTGTTTTTAATTTCAAACTAAAATGGAATTTAAAACTACATATTTTTAATAATTAAACTTGTCTACATGTAATTTACATGTCAACAAAGCCGACAGGTCGGTTAGTAATCAATCAATAAGGTCTTTACTATCTTATCGTATTGGAACTCAGATATTTAACATTGGAAATATAGTTTACAGCCACTGAAGCCACATGTCACATTGTAAGTAGGAAAACCACAATTTTATAAATACCACTACGTATTAATAATCATTATAAAACTGTGTATGTCCTGAATATAAAATGTCAAACATATGCAACTGTAAATTTTACGGAATGTAATCAATAAAAGTTTTTATAATATCATATTGATAAAACAATACGGTAACGCCTAGTCTCTAAAAATATAAATTATAACAGCAAATTATCTCTACATCTTTCTTCACAGACAAAACGCGAGAACCCAAAGTAATGGCTAAATAGAAAGATCATCGTCAACTTGCCCTGTCACTACAGAGGGTCAGCTCAGTATATACTTCTTTACCATACATCTCTATCAACTATCATATCTGAATCCCCTCCCATCTTAACCATATCCTCTTTCACACAATCCATCCATACTTTCTTCGGCCTTCCTCTTGGTTTGTAGCCAACCACATTCAATCTTTACATTTTCTGCTTTATATCTCCATCCTCTCGTCGCATATCCATACCACAATATACCAAGAAAGGATAATATCGTTGAAATGCCTTGACAGAGTATTCGGTTTCAAAGCTATGAATCTTAGGTCCGATTCTCCGTAGAGATAAATGTTACTGTAGAAATTTTAACACGCTTTTATTAGCTTTGCTTGTGTGCAAAGGAAATAGTCAAGTTATCATTAATTTATAGACAAACGATACTATGAACAGTGTAACTGACTTTTAATTTAGTATTATTTATCCTGGACGTTACACTTTACGTGAAAAGTACGGTAAATACGACAACAGAGTATTTTATGTTTTTTTAACTATTTGATAATTCGATTACTATGTAATTATTGAAAAGGATTAAATACTTACAGAGCTAGGTTTATTATATTCCGTCGTGATATTCCTGGAGCCATTTATAGACCCGTATCCGGTCGATGTGGGAGAACTTAAACTTCCACCGGGAGAACTGAGACGTCCTGGCGAACCTCTGCCGATGGGTGATGCGGTCCTGCCGGGGGAGGTGGTCCTGCCGGGAGATGTGGTCCTGCCTGGTGACGTGGTCCTCGCTCCCGGTGATCCTGTCCTAGCGCTGGGACTCGATACTCGACCCGGGTTTATCGAGTTTTGTAGATCGGCAAGCAAGGCATCTGGAAATAAAGAAATTTCAATGTTAAATTGCGTTCTCTCCAGAATAAATATCTGTCACCGTAAATTGAAAAAACATCGCTTATTTACTTATATCATTATCATCTTCCTCCTTATTATAATCCATTAGGGTCGACACAACGGGTTTTTGCTTTCCAAATAACTCTATCATACGTCATCACAGTCATCACTCCCTTCTTGATCATGTCACCTTTTACGTAGTCCATCTATCTCTTTCTAGGTCTACCCCTACCGGTGCAGGGTACACTCATGACTAACCTTATCCTTTTTACTAGCGATTCATCGCTCCTTATTTACTTACATAAAACTCAATACATAGAGAGACACTAGCATATTTAATGTCCCATTTGTAATAAATATGAAATTGTAAAACATACCAAAGAAAAATAAATTGTTATTTATATTTCACAGCAAGATTTATCATCTGAGACGGTATCTGTTATTTCATAAATCTTACATTTCCTAACAGATATGTTATCTTTATCTCCTTATTTATATCCAAGACAAAAAACAACTAACACTCCTCATGATACATCTTGTTTACAATAAATCTTTTTAATATGTTAACTTTATATCTAAAAACAAACGTATCTGTTTAAAAAACATTTTCTTCAAAAATAACCTAACAAACCACTTTAAAATGCTAACAATTTGAAAGGAATCTAAACAGAATTAAAAGATATACGTGCATTAAGACTGGCTGGAATGTTTCTATTGCCTAAATGCCTTAAAACAAATAAAAAGCACATTTATAGCCAAGTTTTATATAATCGGAGTTCAGGTTAGAAGATGTTGCAATGAAACAATTTGTAGTCCTCCTAATAAAAATACTAATTTTCGCCTTTGTTTCTGGCCGCGTGAATTTAAAAAAAAACCAAGAGTAAGTAACCTCTGTGTTCTTCCAGAGTATCCTCTACATGTATGCCAAATTAAATCGAGATGCGTTGAATCGTTTAGGCTACAAACATCCCTCCATCCATCTAAACTTTTGCATTTATAATATTAGTAAGATTAGCTTGCGCCCACGATTTCATTCGCGCGGAATTAAAAATAAAGTTAGTAAATAGTATGCGTTCTTTCAAAGTACGTTCTTTGCCGTCTGTGCTGAATCAAGATCTGTTCAGCTATTTTGGAGATACTTAAAAAAAAACATCCATCCATCCATTTTTCAAGTGAGAAGTAACATTGATGAATTGACAAATAATATGAATGATTAAAATTTACGTCTATTTGAAACACCATTCATAGATAAAATTTAACCTTTGTAATGTATATTAGAAAGTAACACTTGTAAACGGATGATACTATTTTTAGGACGCATTTGACCAATAAACAGATAAATGAGTAAACTTGACCAATGATGTCATGGCGTTGCATTCAATCTACTCTTAATTGGCGCCAATCGTCATCCTACATTCTATAACATGTTTTTTAACAATTTCAAATTTAGAACGTAAAAAATAGATGCATTATTTATTCGTTATTTTCGGTTATACAGATAAAAAAGAAAGTGCAATCGACAATCATGTCTTTTAATGGCGACTGTTTTAACTTTCAGATTTTTTTTTCCTTTTAATTAGCAATACCGAGTTTATGTCGAAATAATTTATATCTTATTCGGTTTTATGTCCATGCAATACAAGTTTGTCTTGTTTACATTGCCAAAGTTTCCGCGGTGTTTCGAGTACGGTTCGGAAACTAGTTTTCATTTGGACGAGTTCATTGGTCTTCTGACGCCTTCAGGACCAGGTATCGGCCAATTTCTATACAACATAACGTCCCACGACTGGCTAATTTACTAAGAAGGTTGTATAACAAATTATCAGGATATACCTGAGAATGTACGAAGGGACTTGAGGTTAGTTAAAGTAAACAATTGAATAACGGATGTTTGTTTTTATACCAGTCAGGTATGAACACAAACTTTAAAAAAATATACTGATGTTTGTTTAAACTACCTGTTAAAAGTCTTTAATACTTGACAAGTTTAGTTTTTAAAGGAGTTTTACATCCAACTCGACGACTGGTGAAAAAAGTCACACAGAAGAAAACAGTAAAACTCATACGTTGGGCATTTTAAATATTTGGAGGATAAATGAGATGAATTATTTTTGGCAATGCGTTTCCGTTTAACACATTAGGAAAACATAATTTAGGTTTTTACAAATATTTTTACGATCATACAAAATGGGTAAATTTTAGGTTTAAATTCATTACATAACGCGGTGAACGTCATTTAAGAGATTTTCATATAAAAAAAAATGTTATCGGTCACTTGATGAGGGCACGAATCAAAATCTTTAACACGTCTTGGAAATAACTTTAAAACAACAATTATAGCAGTGAAACTAAATCATAAACAAAAATAACCTTTAACAATGACAATAACAAAGAATCTTCAAGGGCAATAATTCATTCGCCAATAAAACAGACAACAATGGTAATTGAGATTCATGAATGAATATATAAATACCTAATCCTTCGACAGCTTCAAACACTTCTGCATAATCCGCTTCAGTTTTAGATTCCTTTTTGGTTTTTAAAATCTTCCCGTAAACATCATCATTCACTGTATAATATGCTCTTGACATGATTTTAAAAGAACGCACCCATACACAATATGAACCCGACACGCACTGGCCGAAACAGATTCGCGCGAAAGCACTTCTTTTTTCAAAAAAAAAAGAAAGGGCGAAGGATTCTAAATTTAAATATCTCTGCCCTTAGTCGGCAAGGAGGCGCGGGCGGCTCAGTTATGGACTAATGTTATACTGATTCACCTCATCGGAGCGAGCGCCGGCCGCAAAAATCGCCCGCTCTAACTCGACTCATTGTTCACGTAAATATTTATTAATTCATTTGAAAATATCGACGCTCATTTATCCTGATGATGTCCAATTTTTACTTATACAAATAATGAAATAGATATTTAAAAGTGATTTTTTTTGTAAATACTTCACGAGACGAACTGCGGTTGGTTGCCAATAACATGAAGTTTTTCAACAAAAATGCATAAAATATTATAATACTGATCAATTAATTTTTAAGGTCTTATATACAGAACATAAAAAGGTATAAAAGCATATTCTGATTTGACAATAAAGCGCTATGCTAAGCTTGCAGCGCTTAATAGACATACCGATGGTACTTATACAGTGTCATTCAAACTTTATGGAAGCTCGCAATTTCACACGAGACTAATAAAACGCATTTTTAGGAGTGAGATGTAACATGCGGGTGCAAGATACAATATAATTTCTTGCCGACAAATGTAGTGGGCCCAGCTGGGAAGCACCTGTAGGGATTCGCTTATCTTGAGCCGGCATAAAGTTTGAATGTTATTATACTTGCATACTCTACGATCTGCGATAATGAGGACGGTGCGAGATGACTAGTATGCCGTGGAATCCGATTTGCTAGCTCTTTCACGTCTATCTTCACTAATATGCACTATGTTTTGGTTATGAAATATTGCAGGAAATTTACTTTCTTTTTAATAAGATGTTGCTTTAATGTTGTTGATTTAATATAAAAATCTTTTATCGTCAGATATAAAAAAATCAATTTCAATTTCTATTATCTGTGTAAACCTGGACGACAGTTATGTTTAAATCTAATGACTACTAAAATAAATAAAAAAACGGAAAAAGAGCGCCTGGTATTATTAATACGGCAAATAGTTCGCCGTAGTACTCCGTGAGATAAAACGCCTGTTGCTTTTAATGCAGCAATGTAATGAAAATACGGCACATTACGTTTACTATTAAAAAAATAACCGTTGATTTTTTATCTTCGTCATTCTATCGTTTTAGATGAAGAATAAATAGCAGTGTACTAGTAATAATGGCACTTTCCATGTTGTTATTTTGCCGATGATCCTTGACAAAAACATAAATCTCTAACCTTGTACAATATAATAAGCGACATAAACATAACATTTATAAATAAAGTATCCACTTAGGCTTCAGAATTAACGTCAGATAGCGCATTTTCATAAAAAAACCAGACACAATAAAGTATTTCTACGTATGTTAGTAGTTAAGAGGTCAGTTAAAACTCTATATTAACATTTACCTTTTTTATACTTTGGTATTTTCAAGGATGTATTTAGGGGAATGAACACAGAAAACCGGCTGGTAATACGTCAGAAATACAAAACAGCACGACTATTTGTTACGATTACGTTAAGTTTATACACGCGGCCGACTCCCGATCACGCCACTGACACCAAATCAAAATAGCACAAGGTCAAACTATAAACCGCGACCTGAATCATACGCAAATCACACCATTCACTATACTCACCTAAATACGAACTGAAATCACTGAAGTACCGCCTCCAATCCGAGCAGCTCAGCTCCGGTGGGCTCGAAGGACCACAATCCACGGTATACTTTCTCTCTAACACCGGGGAGAAAGAGACAGATTTGGGGGATGCAGAGCGCGTGCGCACAGACGCCATACCTGATGCCTAGTATAAAAGGGAGCAACCGGTCAAAATCGTGGACAGTCGTGGTCGGACTGCGGCTGGGAGTAGACTGATTATTTTGGGTAAAGGCGGCCGTTGTTAGCTGATATCGCGATCGCACTACTGAACTGGCTAGAGCTACGGGCTATTCCCGTCAGGTGGTCATTTCCGCCGATATTTCATAACACGTCAACTGATCCCTGTTGACTATTTCATGGTGTCGAAAACAAACTTTTAACAAATCTTTCAGATAACTAGAATCAATTGAATGTAAGGGTCTTAATAGAGAAGGCTTTTAAATTAGTTATTATAAGACAAACTGATACATACTCTTTGCTATTGGTTACACCAGCTAAAAATCTATTTGTCTGTGTGGGCGACAACACACTCTACAAAACGAACCCATGTGTTTGTTGGCAAACACCATTAACCTAAATCTTCTTAAAATAAAGAATCAAAGGCAAGAACGATTACTACACTTCAGAATTATTAATAGTGTTTGAAATTTATAGA